TAACTGTCAGGGATTTCATGGATTGATTAGGCCATGTTTTTGTTTGGCCACCACTTACTCTTTTCCAATCTGCACCTATATCTGCTAGTTATGCCCGTCGGGGGAGGCGATGGTTAGGCATGCGCAGCACGTGACCTGGCCATCTCAATCTGTGTAAATGTATAGCCTCGTCGAGTGATTTTCCCTCTTTGCCCAACACTCTACGCCTAACGTCAACATTACTTACCTTATTATACCACCTAACGCGAGAAAGAGATCGTAAACATCTGTGGTCAAAAACAGACAATCTCTTCATGTCTTTCGCTCTCAATGGCCACGTCTCACCGCCATAGAGGACGGAGCGAACTGCTGAGCAGTGCACACGTCCCTTGGTTGACAGCCGAATGTCACGCCTACGCCAGAGACGGTGTAAGTTAGCGAAAGCAGCCCGAGCTTTCTGGATCCGTGCTGTGATTTCGTCACCAATCAATCCGTTGGTGCTGATACAACTTCCCAAATAGGTGAAGTGGTCAACATGTTCTATCACTTCACTCCCTATCACTAAGCTAGGAGTTGACGTAGTCCAGTCCTGTAGCAGCATCTTACATTTTGCAGGGGCGAATCGCATTCCAAACATACGAAGATTGCTGCTCAAGGTGTTCAGAAGACTGCATTTTGTCAGCATCCTCCCTTAACAAGACTATGTCGTCTGCGTATTCTAAGTCTATAAGACTATTCCCTGGTAACAAGTCGATTCCTAAGTCATTAAGTTCAGTTAAGGATACCTCCATTAGCATATCTATGATGAAGTTAAACAGAAAGGGGGAAAGTGGACATCCTTGACGGACACCACTAGTTGTTATCAATTCAGATGACAATTCCCCATTAGCCCCTACACAGCTACGTGAGTTTGAGTAGAGTGCCTTGATTAGTGCAATGTACTTTCTTGGCACTCCCTTCATAGTCAAACATTGCCATAGTACCTCTCGATCCACGGAGTCGAAGGCCGCCTTCAAGTCAAGAAATATGGCAATTGTTGGACGCCTAAAAGTGTGCCTATGTTCTAGGATCTGTCGGAGAGTGAAGATATGATCTATGCACCCTCTACCTGGCCTAAAGCCCGCTTGATTTTCCCTCGTTTGTTCCTCCCGAGTTCGGCTTAGTCTGTCCATGATTACTGAGCCTAGGATTTTAGAGACTATGTTCGTTAAGCTGATCCCCCTATGATTATCACATGACGACTTGTCTCCCTTCTTGAAAATCGGTATAATAAGTGACTTACCCCAGTCTGATGGAGCCGTCTCTGATTCCCAGACGTTACCTAGTACCTTAGTTAAACTATATACTAGTATGTCACCCCCACATTTAAACACCTCCGGAATAATTCCGTCGGGTCCTGCCGCCTTGCCTCGTTTCAAATTACAGATTGCTTTGGTGACCTCACTTACAGACGGCGGGCCAGTGTCTATGTCCCATTCGGGTGTGTGCTGGATGGCGGGGAGGCTCAGTGTGGCTGTAGGCAAGTTAAACTGTTTCTCGAAGTGTTCTTTCCAGCGTTCGAGGCGTCTATCCTGAGAGCTAATTAAGGAGCCATTTTTCTCACAAATAGTCTCACTTATGATTTGCCTTCTCCCACCCGTTTCCCTGATGAGTCTAAAGAGTTGCCTAGTGTTGCCTATCGCCGATGCTTTTTCCATCTCTTTCGCCTTTGTCAACCACCACTGTTCACGGTCCTTGCGGAGACTTTTCGTAAGTTTCCTTCTGTGCAGCTTTCGCTCCTCATTGAATTCGGAGCTCGCCGGAATAAGTCTTCTAGCATCTATCAGTTCGGGTGAGGCAGTCGAAATCCAATGGTTTTTACTCACCTTTGGATTTACCTTATTCACAGCTTTTACAGCTGTATCTATGGCTGATTGAATATTCTTCCAGGCTTCTTCAGGGTGAGCGCAGCTGTCGAACTCAGATATGTGTTTAGCTAGTTCTTCCTCAAATAGGGAACGACTTCATTGACTTCGAAAAGGCCTTCGACAGACAGAGTTGACTGAGAAGTAATTTACAAACTACTTCAACAATACGGCGTGTAGTGCCCAAGTCTTTATCAACCTCATTCAACAGCTGTGTGACAGTGGAACTTGTCAGGTGATCCACAAAAGAAAACTCAGCGAGGAGTTCGAAGTGAGTACAGGAGTAAGACACCGCTGGCTGCCTATTATCACAATGATATTCTTAATTGTGGTGGACTGGACTATGCGTCAGACTGTGGCGAGCGAGGAGACAGGAGTACGCTGGACCACCAATAAGAAGGCTCTGGAAGATCAGGATTTTGCAGATGATAAATGTCTAATGTCACATAAACTCGAAGATTTGCAGGTGAGAAGCAAGAAACTGGCAGAAGAGGCTGGCAGTGAAGACAGGACTTCAGGTGAACATGGAGTGAACGAGATGATGAAGAACCAACAAACCACAGCGACAACCAGAACCAGTAACCATCAACGGGAGAGATTTAACAAAGGTGACTTCCTTCACTTATCTAGGAAGCGTCATTGCAACCACGGGCGAGACGGGTGGAAATATCAGGATTAGCCAGAATCGGAAAGGCAAGGTACGCATTCATCGACCTGAAACCGGTTTGGAAATCTTCTGCACTGTACTCAGCATAAGGAACAGGATTCGGATTTTCAACACCAATGTCAAGTCGATCCTTCTGTACCGGTCAGCGGCTTGGAGTGCACCGTAAATGATTTCCAACAGTTGCAGACAAGGCATCTGCTACATTGTTGTTCACTCCGGATATTTGGTGAATATCCGATATAAACTGTGAAACGTAGTCCAGTTGTCATGATTCTCTAGGTGAATACTTATTTGAAGTTGAGTTCAGAGAGTGCGTCAGGGGTTTGTGTTCAGTGAAAATAATGAATTCACGACCCTCCATTGGATGTCGAAAATGAAGTATGGCACGATACATAGCCAGAAGTCCTCTGCCGAAAGTGCTGTACTTTTCTTCCGCTAATTGTAGGCACCTGGAGAAAAAGGCGAGTGGTTGCCACTCCCTGCTGACTAGTTGCCGCAGGACTGCGCCGATTACAGTGCCTGATGCATCAACCAAGATACTTAACGGGGCCGTTGGATCCTGGTTTATAAGAAGTGTGGCATCCGCGATAGCTTTTTTAACCTGAGTGGAAGCATTTTAGTTTTGGGTACTTGTCAACAGTCGACTGAAAAGTTGAATCAAATATCGCCTTTTTGTTAACCAGTGGCACGTTATGAACTACCTAGGTGATGGCTTTAATAGACAGTCTAGTGGTACCGTCAATCAGTCATTTTCAGTAGACATCCGCTATTATATCATGATGGTTAAGTATGTGTGTGCCGATGATGGGCATAGTGAGGTTGGCAAGAAGGAAAATCCACCGAATAGATTTGCGCAAACCCTCTTTCAGATGGACATACTTCCTACCAAAGGCTGCAGTAGGTTCCCCATTCGCAGCCTGTAAGTTGAGTGTAGGTTGAGGCGTCGCAAGCACGGTCTCTACTAACTGTGACAACTTGGATAAGAGCAGCTCTCTGAAGAGTCCCTCATCAAACTGACTTTGGCCGGTAATTTCCCTCATCTGTGTTAGTGTGTTCACAGCCGCTTGATCACCTAACTCGACGCTGCAAAATAGCTCATCAAGACGATACAGATATGTGAGGTCATTTCTCTGGACTTGACATGTGCACAGTTTCGTATTTGCTTTGTTCCCATGGTAGGGCATGGACAACTTAAAAGAACTGCGAACGTTAGTCAGTGATCCCATGTTCACTGAAATCAGACTCGGCTGTCTGAAACCACGATTCCACATTATCTTGCCAAAACAGCACGAGTGGAATAGTTTTGCTAGTTGGTTGAAACGGCGTATGGTCACTCAAGGCGAAATATATATACTTTAAAAATAGGACAAAAACAAATAAAAAATGGAACGAACTCACCGGATTTGTCTGCGTGTTTACCAAAGATGAAGTTCGCAATAGGGCTGAGGGTGTTGGTGTTTACGGATAGTACGAAGTATGCTAACTCAAAATCTAATACCCACATTTTCCACATCATTTCTTCTACATGGACCAAAGGCGAAGCAAAACATCAGAATTGATCGGCCAAATTACAAGTTATATTTCGGGACCAAATCGGAGTGCGAGATGATTGCTTAGCTATCTAATGATCATGCACGAACGAATGAGAGCAACACAGTGGAGTGCCCAATAGCGTGGATGCTTGACTGTAAGCCTTCAGATAAACAGATCGGCTAAAGCAGTGACGGTCAGCATCCAATGTTCAGTGATGAATGCTGTGGCTGATAATTCTGGGGAATTACCCACCTCTACAACAACCTTGGGTTCTACCAGAATGCGCCAAAGTGCCCTCAGTTGTATCACAAGTCTGATTATACTGCTGTGAGAATCTGACCATATAATTTCGTTAGCATATAAGCTTAGACTCAGAAGGTCACTGGTTTGTTAGAGAAACTGAAGAAGACGACAGTAGGACAGTTGTCTGCAATGGACCCTAGATCTATCTCGTAGTATCTATAATACACCTAAGGTGATTCAAGCTAGGATTAAAGATACAACGAGAACCAGTGAATGATTGAAATTACTGATACATCGTCCTTTTCTGAGATAATATCTGCAATTTGATATTTTTGTTGAACATCTGAATTGGAGTGCTCATGCTTTACTTGCCATATGTCCTGTTTAATTAGTTCGCAATTACGTGACGACAATAAATTACCTGAATGAAATAACCTACAGTTTTTTCGGTTTCATCACATAAAAAGTACATAATGGGAGAGCGCTTGATTTGAGATTGTTATTTTGCGGGATCTTTCGATAAGTTGTTGGTTTAGGCTTGGTTTCTAGTCGTCCCAAGCAGTTACCACCTGGTTTATTAGAAGGAGATAAATTTAATTAACTTGGAGACCTGCTTCTGAATTTAAACGTGTCAATACTGAATGTCACATCTCTGTTTGGTTTCTGTGTGCTTCCCAGTGTAACCATAGTCATGGATATATGTTTTCTTCGCATCCACTCATTATCAGAATCACAATAAAATGATGAATCATAAGAGACCTGTTGTTGTATTTTGTCAGAATGATTTGTAAGCTTATATCAATTGTTGTGGAATGGTGTGAACTGTATTGTGGTATCTAAGCGCAGTTGGAGTATGGGAGAATTAGTTTTGAAGGTCGTTACTGGAACTGTAGAGTTCATTCTCGACAAACCAGGTATGTTTTCTGTTATCATACGTAGTGATTATTTATTATCACTTTGATATGGCAATACTTCTATAAGCACTTGTCATATCAGGGGCTATTTATTTTAATCAATAAGCGTTTGATAAGTATTAATAGAAAGCTTTGGATGAATAACAAGAATAATTAAAATTCGAATTTGAATATAAACAACGAATGTTGTTAGCAAAGTCAATTCATCACGTTCAGGGCATGCAAACAAAATTTTTCCCCATCAATTTTTATTTCTGTAGTAATAGAATACGAACACCATTTCATTATCTTCTTGATAGGTGTGAATATTTATTGCTACAACTCTATTTTTCAGTTTCGCTTAAAGGGATGCCTGACACATCTGTAGCCTAGTCAGTGCATACAGTTGATGGGCTTACAGCAGTCGGAAATTCTTTAACATCTTCATACACAACAACCTCTCATCCTAACAAGCTTTATATTAGCTGGTTTTGCGACATCGATCTTTAGTTTACAAAATTGACCTTCACTACTACTTTTGTATACTGTATACGGTTTCAGAAAATGTTAAACAGTATGTCTCAAAATTCCAAAATACAACAAGTCCCTAGGACCACTTGGTCAGAATTAAGTTTAGGCACTGCCCTATAAATTCTGATTATGTATGGCCTCTGATATAAGACTGTGACATACTCCGTGTATGTCGTGACTTATTTGCATGTTGTTACTACTACTGTATTCTTTTTAAATTCCCTTACTGAATTTCAACTTTGATATACAACCGCTTACCTATCAAAGGGAGTGTTTTAGATTCAGCTCAAAAGATACTAACATTACTAATCAAAAGTTATTTAGTCACAATTGCATTTCGCATCCGAATATTTTTTTAAGAACCCCTTGTTAGTGAAATTTGGACTTCATTTTTCCAGTTAGTCACTTTTTGTGATGTATCAACATATTTGTAAAGATTAGTAGTAGTGATGCATAAATGTTATATCTTATCAAACTATTTTGATGCTAAAACAACAAGAAAGACCGCTGTAATTGGAACTATATTCAGTATTGTTGAAAGATAGATTAGATACTTCCAAAACTCTATCCTCTCTATTCTAGACGGAGTTGTTTAGAAGTTATGTTGCTACAATATCAGCCTGAAAATAACGAGTAATACACTACTGCGAAGCTCCATGGTTTATCTTAATAACAGACTTTACCCCGCCCCCCCCCAAAAAATTATTTTCTTATACCAAATATCTGTTTGTAAATTCTGTTATTAGATGCTTCCCAGTACTTCCGTGTGATCTCAGTTTCCCATTCCGGTTCTGTATCATCCGACCTAAAAGTGGGTACATTTATAATCTCTGTCGATGGGATCCCACTCAGTGGATTAAGTCTTGAAGAGTTGCAGTCCCTTATTAACGACTCTACCAGGTACTATACATTTTTATAAAGTTATTTATTAGTTTATATTTATCTAGTAATTATGCATTATCTAGTCACAAGAGTTTTGTGGCTTTACTTTTATTTTGTTGTGTTGGAAGATTACATGGTTTGCTTGGCAGATATTGCGCACGTGTATAGGCTTCAGTTTTGTAAATTCCTCAGTATAATACTGTTAACCCGCAACCTCTTTATGGAGATAAGCTGTATCAATTCTTGAATGAAATCAGTTCACAAATCCCACTGAATTATTCTCATAAAATTTTCAAAAAATATTTTTAAAAATTAAGAATTAAAGAAATATATTAACTAAAATACCGTAAATGCATTAGATGAGAACAGTTTTTTCCAACTGTTCTTATTTGCTAGACATTTTAATTCACAAAATAAGCTTAATACCATTTTGAAGTCATAGGTCGAGGTGGAACTAGGAAGCAGCTATTTCGAGTACGTTTCAAATCTAATCATAGATGTATTGGCCGGAAAATCACAGTCCATCGGGTTATGAGAAAATCCTTGGGAGTAAACCACGTGACTGTGTTTATCTAACTAGTACGTTAGCTAGTTTTCAACATATTTCTTAACCAACTCTACTGACTCTTCTCTGTTTTTCTTGTCTTTGAATGAGCTAAAATCCCATAATTTTATTTACGCAAAGTATTTTAGTTTGTTAAATGCTATGAAGCCGTTTTGAGTGTAAGTACGTAGCTTAAAGTAGTTGGTTAGGAACATTCAAAATTTTGCAACAAGAATTTCGCTAAATGCAGGTTGAAAAATCTGGTGAATCAAGTCACGTAGAAAAAAGCGTGCAATTTCTCATAATCACAGTATTTAGTAGTAGTTCTAAAATCTAACGTAGTCAACTGGATAGCATGGAATGTACTTAACAAGAATGATCCAACAGCCATGTTTAGAAAATTCCTATGACTAGTAGAACTTCAGAAGTAATAAACTATTGAACTATAAAATATAATTTTGAAAATATCATGATCACCGTGTTATAATTATGAGCGATAAAGTACACTCGAAATTTATTCGGTAAGCAACGGTGTCTCATTGTGGTACATCAGGTGAATGAAATAACATGGGCTCATGACTATGGTTAAAATTGTTTGTAGTGCCTGCGTCAAACAACGGGGGTCACCAGTGTCTATTCTTACCTTTATGTAGCTTTGATGCGGACATTCTTCCAGCAATATTATTTGTCTTCAACTCAGCAACTCTCCCTTAAGAAGTTTAGACTAATGTTTTCAGTGAAATGTTTGAGCACACATTTGGGGCTGGATGTGGTGCTACTCTACGACAAGGAATTGTCATTTATGGTGGCAGACAGAGATTTTGGAAGATTTTGATTGCTGATTTCACTAGAAAAACTATCTTTTTAATGTAATTTGAATACAAAATACTTATCATGAGAATTTCTATTCAGAGTATTATAACAGGATCATGTAAATGCCATAGTGAGAGATGTAAGGAATTATGGAGTAATCAGAAAACAAATGTAGTCACAAAAGATATCTGCATAAATTGCCTTTCTTTCCCTACATAACTACTTTTCACTCGATGAATCCACATCAAAAAGATGACCACCTCTTCATTTCTGGCTTGTACTGGTGTATAGTTGACAAGGTAGCATGAATAAGATATGTTTGAAGCACAGAGAATATCGTTTCACGATGAATACATTTATTAAATAGTGATTGTCATTCAGGCAAGACCTTCAAACCCTAGAATTACTTACGTAGCATTGACACTGAATGCCAGCGGTCGGATAGATTGCAGTGGTAGTTAAGCAGTAGTCATCAGATATCCTAGACCGGAATAAATTTATTTTTATCTCTACAGAGCAAGGTTATTCGCATAAAAATGCAATCGCCCAGTGTTTTACAGTTAAACTTAAGTCGGAGACATTTTAAAAGTATGTTCTATTTCGGTCTTTGTTGTACGAACAGTAATTCCATCTCTCATGTCTGTCGGCACTTACACAACTATCAGGTTCAGCAAACCCGATAAATTGCTTTTTAAAATTCTCCACCTGCCGCTCTATATTGCATTAAAGATTGCTTACCTACACGTCACATCTCGGAAGGCATCCTACTAATACAAGGCTAATTAATACCATTGGTTTGAATGAATTACAAGGCTGTGTGGTTATTAGCAAATGAGACAGGTCCCGTCATGTTTGCGCAATGTGACCACCAACATGTGTGTAATTTTTGTCTTAAGAGGATTGAAGATGCCACTGCATCTGTCGAAATGAAAAGAACACCTAGACGTTGATTTGTTTACGAGTGAAAGTTTTTTAATGCCTGAGGGCCTCAGCTAGCCACTTTCAGCTTGATCTTTAATATAACAGACCTTTGTATGCCTTTTTTGAAGTATCAATAAATGACTTTCGGTTTAAATCTGTTGCATATTTAACTGTAATACTGAGTGTAACTGAATTATTGGTTTTTAATTTTTTAATAGGTCGTTAATTTTATTGATAACCGAAACTCACTTTTAGCACCGTTCACCTAATTCTGATCATAGTGTAGAGTAGAACTTCAGAAGGAATAGCAGGTTTGAATACACCCACTGCATTTGCAGCTGGTTTCAGTTTAATCTTTTAGAATCCACACTTGAGTAGTAAAAACAGTTGGTATTTCGCCGGTAGCTGTAATGATTAAAATCACAGAGACATCGATTACACTCTTCAGAAAATTGTTTCATCATTTATTCGCCTAATGACCTGTACCACTGTCCTCTAATCTTAAGTGCTCGATATATGCATTTATTTTTACTCCCAACACGAAAATTCTTAGAATATAGGCTGAACCTGTTTTTACAATAACATTTCTATATTTGGTTAACGATGTAGAACTAGTAAGTGTAACTCGGCGATCATTTTTAGGTTCATGCGCTAAGTCGTATATGACTAAGCATATTTCAGTCTCCTATTGTGTGCACTAAGTACTTATCTGTAAAACATTTCTACGTAGGGTTTTATAAAGTATACTAAGTTGTGATTGTCTTAAATTGTTTATACAGACAATAGATTATTTATATTTTATGTAAAATTGTCACCTCTTAACACATTTATTGTGTATTCAGTGTGAAAATTTCATCAACCTTATGATAAACCTCTGTGTATAACACATACGTTTGTGTTGAAAAGTGATGACATTGATATACACTAGAGTTATGATTTGACTCAGTAGTCGTTGAATAATTTCTGTTTTACTCGTAAGTCTCATTGGTTTATAGCATAGCAACAGTCTCTTGTGTACGCTCTTAGTTTTACGTTGTGTAACTGCGTATTTCTGTGTAATTCATCCTTTCACTTGTTTAGTATTATAACAAATGTAGGTCAAAAAAAATAAAGCCTGATGTGAATTTATGACCATCTATTTATTTAACAAACGAGAAAAAATGCCTTAGTACACTGAAGTGCCACAGTATTGAAAGTAATTACAATAACATCAGGTAAAATAGCAATACTAATAGTAATTATTGAATAGTTTAAACTAAAATAGAACAAAGATAAAGTTCATTTATACTTTCTCATCTATATCTTGAATTTCACACATAACTTTGTGTATAGGCTACAAAAGGGAATTACACTATGTCTCTTCTGGTTTTTATGAGTTCCTTTGGTACTTTCAGATTGCTAGTTTTCACTCCTTCCGCCAGAATAAGACACCATGTAATCTGTCACTAGTTGTCATCATGCTTCGACAAATCTGGCGAAAAATATACTAGGGATTGGTATGAAACTCGAGACAGTGGTTTCAGCAGTACTAGAGAATTAGAAGTAATTGCTGGATGATCAATGAGCTCACTCGTTAGTGATTCTCAGTGGTTGTTCTAGAACCCGTACTATGCTGAAAATGTCTAGGGTTGTAAAATGATATTGATTATTACTGAGTGACTACTTTGTGTTCATTGAAACTACTTAGAACTAACTTCTCATGTATTATTACTTTTAAGACAAATATATCTGTCTGTCTGTCTGTTTTCGACATAGAACTTTGCACATATGTGCGGCAGTTCAAGTCGTCACACTCCATGTAGCACACAAAGCAAGAGAAGAAAGTAGGAGACATGCATATTAGAGACAGTAAACAGAGGAATAGTAATAACCAAGAACAAGACAGTTTCATTGGAAATCATAAGTCACAAGGAGTAGACGCATCTGCGCCATTGAGAATGATTTTGAGCCATGTCACCAATTGTTTCCTACCATTGGTTTTTACCGTCCCGAGGACCCCAACCAGGAAGTTTACACCTTCCTACGTGACTGCTTAACTAACTGTTGTGGATTTCATTGACTGATGAAGCCATGTTTTGGTTTGATCGCCGCTAGCTCTTTTCCAGCCTGACCCTATGTCAGCTAACATTGCCCGTCTGTCAAGGAAGGCGATGACTAGGCATACGTAGCACATGTCCTAACCATCTCAGTCGATGTAATTTCACAGCCTCGTCGATTGATTTCCCCTCCTTACCTAGCACTTGACGCCTAACAAATATATTACAGTCTCCGTTTCTGAAGTACTATTTATTTAGTAAGGGCACATGCGTCTGTCTTATTTTTCAATTTTCGGTTTGTGCAACTAAGAATTACAAAGTACTGTTATCTGTATATTTAGTCGTTTCATTCGTCAAAAGTAATCATACTGAGATGTACATGTTTGGGAAATCTGGCTACAGCTGGTGTTGATTCGGTCAAATGACATGAAAACAGGCTTTACAAACAGAGTTATAACTGTTGATCACGCTGTATTAGTGGTTATTCATGTCTATCATTATTCCTGCCTAAAACTAAGTATTGTGATCGTCATTTACTCACTTCACTAGATTTTATCATTTATATGAAGTTTGAATGGTACTCGTGTTGTTTGGAGAAGTTCAAATTTTTATTGTATTTTACCTGCTTATGTGTAATGTTATTGCGTCTGATTTCCATTCAGCTAGTTTCTTAATGTAAATCAGACTCTGAGTGTACTTGAAATCATGTAGAACATGTACAAATTCTGATTAATGTTAAGGTATATTCCTACTTAAATTATTGAAATCATCAGTATTTGTCCCTCATATTCCTCATTTTTCGCCTTTTTATCATCTGGGTTCTCTTTTTCTGACTAATTGTTTTTTTCTATTGCAGTTCTGGTGAATTGAAATTGAAATTAATGGATAATGAAGGCGAAAAACATTGTTCTTTTCATTTGGAAACGGGTAGTAAACCAGTTTGTCGAATGGTAGATAAAGGTATAGTGATACTTTTTCTTTACACGGATGGTAATCGTATATTTTGACTATTTCTTAAGTTTGAATTTCATTGGAGAAAGTTTCTTGTTTACGTCTTAGTGAAGATAATATTTAGACTAATAGTAAAAGACTTTCTGATAAGTAATCAAGATGAAGTTAAACTTTAGGCACCGAAGAGGCGCGCGAACACACCGATGATCTTCGAAAGAGCCATAGCGCTGAATGGTAAATTTAATCCTCTAATCCTAACCTTAATCGACCTCGAACCAATCCTAACATCTTCCTAATTAGGTTAACCTAACTCTAACCTGTTCCTTGCCTAAATCCAACTTTCATCTTTCCCAAACCTTATTTAAAATATACCAGATATGCTGTTAAATGTCATAACACTTCACCAAGCATATTTTTCATGAATATAGTGATATTTACCTGGTTTCACGTACTTGCTAACTGGGTGTCGTAAGGTCATTCGTTCATTCGAGCCCCCTCGGTGCTTAAAGTTTAACTTTGCCGTAATTAAACTGAAAGGACAATCAGTTTATCAGGGGATAGCAGTAACAAGATTCACACTATATCAAAATAGGTATTTCAAAATAATTATTACGATTTTTTGTAATTTATAAGCTACATAACTTTTTAATAATTAGAGCTATTCTTAGCTCATAAAGCTAAATAACTTCTTACTAGGTAATTTGGAATCATAATTTTAAGTATTCTGTCAGTATTGTAACAGAATGCTACGCCTATTGATGTACTTTTGGTTTGTTGTTTCTGTTAGTTTTACTTGTTTCGAATATGAATTTTGTCTGTCAACCTATTGGCGTATAAATTCGTTGATATTTTTTCCCAATAGTAGTTACTGCTTGTGACAGGAATTCAGTTGGTATTTTGTAAAAGCACTGCATCGCACAATAATTTTACCCTGTAATATTCCTGGAAGATGTATGTATACCTTTTGTGGATATAAGTACCCGATTCTCTCAACAATAGTCAAATGAATAATAATAAATAAATAAATAGCCTTATTCTGAACAAAATGTTTAGACAGTGTACAGGATTCTCAGCGTAATCTACTGCATAATATTTTCTCCTCATCCAGGATCTTCAAGTAAAATAGCAGTCCATAGTATATCACGTGACGCAATGCTTTTAAATCTGAAGCATAGACTAAACCTTTAAGATATTTTTTCCTTTCGTCCCAGCAAAATGCACACCGTTAGTTTGAAAGCCGACAATAAGAATTTTCAAGTATTGGTTTGTAGGGATTTTGTTTGACTGGTTGGAGGATTTCCTCATGAGCTAACATCAGTTAGAGAAACATAGTAAAACCTAGAGGGAGTACTGGACAACGGTTTCGTCCTAATTTGGGACTCTTCATCAGTACGCGCCCACTGCTGAGGTTCGAACCCAGGACCTTCTGGTTACAAGGCGAGCTTGTAGACCGTTAAGCCACTGGGACCTGATCCAGTCGCCTGTGAATTCCAACTTCTGCCAATTCACGATATGGCGCGACTGATACTAGTCAGTGTCATCGGTGAGTATTTGTCCTCACACCCGAGCTTCTGTACTCCACTGGTCACAACTTCCCACTAGAACCCAAGTAACTGCCTGGTCGCTAAATTTAGCGCTATATCGTAAATTGGCGGAATTTGGAATTCCTGGTCTGGCCATTAGGTCGGGTTCCAGTGTCCTAATGGCCTATGAGATCGCCTTGTAATCAGAAGGTCCTGGGTTCGAACCCCGGTGGGCGCATACTGACTAGAGCGAAACAGCTGTCTAGTTTTCCTGCTTGTTTTCCAATGGTTCTCTAACCGATGTCAGCTCGTGATGAAACAATAAGAATTACAGAAAATGTGATACATTGTGTTAGGTAGCCCAGTGATTTAAGCAGGCCGCTCATATGTACGTAACATATATATATATATATATATACTATTAGAAACACATTGGGAGATATAAGACCGATAAGCAAATAAACTACATTGGATTAATCATCCAAAACGACAGGTGTGAATGTTTTTCAGGTCATGTTCAAACAGATAAGGGGAAGAAAGTATGAGAGATTAAAATTAAGACAAAATTCATTACGGTTGAATTACATCACTTAGATAAACAATTAGTCATCAACGAAAGAACTTAAATACATCAAGAATTGCTAACTGGGTAATATTCATAATAATAATAATGTTGAAATGAGTTAAGATAATGCTACTGATAAAAGATTGTTTTAAATGAATCAGGAATAATAATAATAAGAGGTAGAGTAGTGTTAATAATAATAATAATAGTTAATAAGTAAAACATATTACCATGGGAAATGCACACTGACGACCGTTACCTTTTGTACACAGATACCTGGTTTATAAACTCTGATTGCACAAGCCTCCGTAATTGAAAGCATCTTCCTGTTTGTTTGTCTGCTGACAGCAATAAGTGACTTGACAGCATCGATACCATGTCCCTAGTCCACAAGGCGCTTTGTTAATAAACTTGTTGGCACTTTAACTTCAGCTATTTTCAACCACTTTTGCAAATGCTCAATCACTCGAGTAGACAATCGCCTTTCTGTACAACCTATGTATTTGCTTCCACGAATACTCTCAAATTGATATACTCAGTTTAAAGCGTGAAGGATTGGCGACTGGTGTTTCCCAGATTGTTTAGGTTTTGGAAAAGTGTGTATGCACATGCTTTACAGTGACTGGCTTTTAAGGTTAATAAATAGTTCCAAAATCACCTGTTTTTTATTTATCACATATGGGAAATTACCTTTCTTTTATCTCTATGTATAAACCATTCATTATACTTTGCTCGTACTCTGCCCTCTCTGATTCAATCCAACTCCGTTCAGTAGGCTTAACATGATTAATACTTCAGCCTAAACACGATTATTCCTGTTAGTAGAATTGTAAAAAAAGGTAAACAAGTATATAAATAATAAACATATCTGGTTATCACCAATTCGTATGAGAAAGGAAACTTTCTATGGGTTTACTTTTTTTCCCATACGATTTGGTGATAGCCAGATATGTTTATTATTTCTATATTTGTTTACCTTTCTATGGTTCAGTGGTAGAACTCTCGCCAACCTCACAAGTGATCTGGGTTTCGATCCCCTGCAGACGCACTCCTAAACCTCGCTCGCGCTTAGCCGGTGGTAGTGAGGCCGGTAAAGAGAGAAGGTTGGGCGTGAGGCTAGCAACCCCACTTGGTGAAAATAAAGCCTCTGCTACTGAAGCTTCAAAGCTCTAGCTTGAAGCCCTATTTTCCCCACGGAAAGTATTATTATTATTATTACTATATCCTTTAATTCCTAGAGGAACATAGGGCTTCAGCCGTGCGTCTCCATTGCGTTCAGTTCTCTGCTAGAGTCTTCACCTGGCTCCATGTCTGCCCACACGTTTTCATCTCCTCTTCACATGATCTCCTCCAAGTCACCCTTGCACTGACGACTAACTCCCCGCTTCCCTTTCGGGTTCCACTCGAGCAATGGCTTGTCTAGTGATGTCACTTGATGGTTTCCTCAGAGTATGGCCAATCCATCTCCATTTCTTCCTGCCTATTTGTTTCACAATTGGTTCCTGGTTGGTTTGCTCATTGCCAGAGATCTCTGTTGCTGATCTTTTCTGTCCATCTGATCTTGAGTATTGAGCGAAGACAACTGTTAATGAAGGTCTGTAGTTTGTTTGAGATGCTCTTTATGACGCGCTGGTCAAGTCTCTGATCCGTATAGTGAGTAGCACTGACTTCACATTGGAGTTGAAAATCCGGATATTACTTTTCACGCTGAGTGCTGTTGACCTCCACACAGACTTGAGAGTAGTGAGGGCTTGTCTTGCTTTTCCGATCCACGGAAACAAAAGAGGAATAAAAAAGGGGTCTTCTTATAGTTGTATATTTCGAACCGAAATCTTTGGTTCCTTACCCTACTCATATGGCATTAATCACAGTTTACAATAACATAAGTTATAATTCATAGTCGTATCGACGAATTCCCGTGAAGTAGAGTGTTGCTAATTATCGATCTTTTAAAGGGTGAAAATCTTATTGTCACACGTGCAGTTTTTTCGGGTAGCTGTTTTGTTGCTTTGGGATTTAAAAGTTGCTTCTGCCCTGTTTTGAAGTTTCACTGTGAGCATTACACTCAAGTTTCAAGGGTTCAGTAGCTAGTCGAAGAGTACTACATTACTTTATTACTTTCATTTTTAATCATCTCATATTAGTTTACGGACCACTAAGCGTACAAGTATTTCAGTAATGCAAAACAGCACTTTTCCCCAGTTCATATGGTTCTTTACTTTCAACTGAAAACTATAGTTTTGTTGTTTATCTATTTTTAGCATCTGAAATGGAAGCGGACAAATTGGAATATGAGAACTTACGCATCATACATAGACAAGCATATCGCTCTTCCCCAGATGCGGTTAGACCACAGCACAATTCTGACTCCAAGTCATTTCTACCGAACAGCTCTTTTGACAAACCTAGTCCGCAAATAAATTTCAAACCCAAGCACTCATTTAATTTTTCTCCTGTTACTGATTCATATGGATCTCATCTTGGCGCGGTTGCTAGATTGGCTATCGATGGCGGACTTACTACTGATCAACTGCTTCAAATAGGATCTTCAGATGTAAACCAACCTGGACATTATTTATATCGTTCAGCTACCCATTGTGATCAAAAAGAAGTGGTCCCGGATTCAAAATATAACCTTTCAGATCCACGGATTACAAAGCTTTTGACCTCTCATTCTTCACTCCACTCACGTCCTTGTCGTATATCTCCTCGAGGAACGAGAAGACCCGTCTTTTATAGCTCTAACCAGTCTGTTCAGATTATCAGAGGCTCTGGTGTCACTGCCGCATATGATCAGTCACGCGTTACTGTTTCTCCCAGTCACACATCTGTTGGTCATCATCGGTTATCTCAGTGGTCTGCATCTCGTGATAATCCACATTATATTAGTGGCAGTAACCGTGTTTCCTTTCCCGCTCAAATGACTCGTGTTGGCGGACTCGTTTTCAGTACTGGTTCATCAAACCCGGGGTCTGATAATGCGGATATGAGTCCGGTTGAACAGAATGTTTCTTCTACTAAGCCTTATCAGTCAGTATCTGCCTGTACTTCTCCCACCAATTTAAAACATACTGTGTCCTCCCATTCTCCATCGACTTCCTTCTTTTCTTGTTCAAATGTTCCTAGTCCATCCGAAACTCCACCTTTAGTTTCTACCAATGTCACAGACAATGTAGGAACTACAGATATAGTGCGTTTAGGACCGGGGAATGTTGTTACTCGTACCCCAGCTGGTTCAACTGTGTACAGTCCATCGAGTTTGATCCGAATGCATTATTGTCCGCAGCCATATGTTGGGATGGGATTAACTGGAGCTCCATATGTTCCTGTTGTGTCTACACTCACAATCTCTAATTTGAATGTCCCTTCACCTGTATTATCGGATGGAAGTGATTCTTGCTTATGTTCAAAACCTACTATTAATTCAGAACCCAATATTTCAACTGCATACTCAGATCTGGGTACAACAAGCACACCTGAACCAGTTTTCCCTTGTTCAAGTAAGCATTATGTATATATATATATATATATATATATATATATATATATAATACAATTTACCAATCTAATAGTGAAAAGTCTTCTAGCGATCGATTGTCAGTCAGCTTGTCAAAGAGGAAACAATTAACCAAGAAAATCGGGCCAATATTCAGTTGGTAGAGAGGGCTACATCGTAAAGTTGGGAAAATTAAAATGTAGTTACATAATACTAAGTTTGTATGATAAAAATATAAGAAGAAATGAGTGATTGAATTGTTGAAACCATTTATACGAAAGAAATTAGAGAGTAGTTTGTAACTAGGATATTAGTGGTCAAATAATGAACTTTTACATTTTCGTGAAGATGACCGAGGCAAAGAAAGTGATTGCGTGAATTTCTTCTGATAATTCAGGGCTGGTTTTTTTTCAGATGGATTCCAGTGGCTTCTTTTACATGTAAAAGACGAACTCGTGAAATAAAATAAAGATTAACAGGAATGCCACTATTGACTTTAGGAGCTTTGTTAATATCTGTTGCATTCAGGAGAATTTATCTGTCCACCGCGTAACCATGCTGGGTAATCAGAAATATCAGGGCGTGTTTATAAGACTACACACATATGTGCTGTCTTAAAGGTTTTATTTATTTTATCATCATAATGTTAAGTGTCGATTTCCTAAATTTCATATCATTGTATATCATTTTATCATTATAGCATCTTCCCCAAGTCCTACAGAAATGTCTCCTACAATAATAAACCGACCTGGATCGAAGCGGAACTATGTGGATCCCACTCTGCGGTCTTCAGCGCCAGTACCATCCACAACTCAATACCTACCCACTGTTGGAAAGTGAGTTGCTATAACTAACCATGTAATCGTTATAAAATTTTTGAAAGCTATCCAGCTTCAAATCACTATGTTTTATATGAATGTAGATATATTTCGAGAAACGCAAATTCATTGGTCTGTCGAGTATACGCAACTGTAGTGTTTTGAGTTTTTGAATGTTTTCGGGTCAAGATATTATTCCATGTTACACAGTGTCACATTTTCCCTTGTAAAGATTCAAATTTCACACACGTCTATGTTTTAAATTCATTCACTTATTTAACAATGATAGTTGTCATCACAGTTAACTATAAAAATAGCTCTTCAGCTGAATTTAGATGTTTGATTATGATTCACTTCTACAGTTATGGACACCCTTCAAACTGACACTTGGAAATTAATCTGCTACTCGCTAGTGACTGGCCAGAGGATGAAGTCGACTGGAGTTCTAGTGAGAAGTAGGGACCAATGGAGTCCATCTGATCGGGAATGAAGACATAGACTTGTCGATGATATTGGCTGATAATAACGTTAAAACCACAATTTAACAGAAGTTGAAATTCATGGACCATTGAATCGGGTCCACGACCGTGCCTTGCCTTGGGTTCGAACCCCAGTGGGTGCATACTACCAATGAGTTGCAAACTAAGACGAAACAACTGTCTAGTACTCTCTGGTTTTCAGTGCTTCTCTAGCTGATATCAGTCTGTGGTCATACCTGAAAGATTACATCTCCATGTACTTTAATAATCAGTGATTTATAACACATCAACAGTTTTGCAGTTAGATATCTAGTTTAACCGTGATTATGTCATTAGTTAATCGATATAGATTAAAAGAGAAGTATATTAAGATGGCCTTAAAATTTATATCTCATATCCAGTGATCATATACTACAGTGTATAAATGGTACAGCATTTTTCTGCATTGGTAGTTCAATGTTGAAACAGTGGCCAACCAACCAAGTAGTCCTGGGTTTGATACCCAGCTGATGCTGCACTCTTTTACCTCTCTTAGCTGCCAGAAATCCCGGTAAAGAGGGAAGCTTGAGTGTGAGGCTAGCAACCCCATTCTGTGAAAAACACTACTGCTACTGGAACTTCAAAGCTCTACATCCCATTAGGAACGCAAAGAAATAAAATTAAAAAAAGTAAAAATAGGGAGCACTGAATGCCTGTTGTGTCCGTCCACATACATACATGCTGACTGACGACGTAAACTGTGCTAAGATTATTTGGCGCCATATCAAATAGGCGATAAAAATGTGGATACATTTAGTAATTACACTCTATTAATTTCACTTTGACATTCTAATACCTTTGTGTTTGTGTGTGTGTGTGCGTGTATTTACTTCTCCTCTTTCCATTGCGTCCTTCTTCAGCCTCATACTATTTATTCTTTTCATAAGATTAATTTAATAACGTCTATTGCTTTATCTTGTCAAAAAAATGTAGCAAATAGAGGTCATTATTTCTTTTTTTTCTGTGCTAGATTCTGACTTTCTTTTTTCTAAATTATTCATTTATTTGGTTTTTTTTAAAATAAACTTTTTACTACACAATACAAAAACTGTATTTCTCTTGATCAGGTTTATTTTTGATTCCCGATAAAACACAAAAAACAAATCGCCTTCCTACAGCTACCACTACTACTACTACTACTACTTCCACTAAGGCTAATTCTATTTATCCTGCATTTTTCCACTTTTTTATTCCTCTTTTCACTATGTGTGTATCGTCACTTTTCGCTCTCTCTCTCTCTCCCCTGTTCTAGTTGCTTACTTGGACACTTTTCTTTTACTTGTTGATATTTTTTTTCGCCCACTACCACTACTATTGTTCCATCCTCCAGTCTCCTATCGATTGACATGTCATCTGATCAGTATTGTTACGCGTATATATGTATGTATGTATGTATGTATGTGTGAATGTATATATTAAATATTTAAACTTTCACTTATTATATATAAATACCATTAGTATATTTATTGGTTGAAACAAAGTTTTCTTTCGAAGAGGTTGTTGCTGTTGTCGTTGTTTAAAGGATAAATATAACACTATATTTTTTGTGTGTGCTTTATGCATTGATTTTTGGACATTGGAGTGTACACACATGCATGCGCATAGATATGCGCGCGCATAATTAACAAGAAAATTATTTTAGTCAATTTCTATTGTGCTATTATCGTACACATTATATATCTATTATGCCATATTTTGAGGGTCAAGTATTTGTATTATAATAGGATTATTATTATTAGTAGTAGTAGTAATGATAGTAATAAACGTCATAGTGTTCTTTCTTCTTCTTCATTCGTTCACTTTCCCAGTGGAACATAGGGTTTCAAGGTAGAGGCTTGAAGTTTCTGTAGCAGTGTTTATTTTACAGGATAGGGTTGCTAGCCTCATGCCCCAACCTTTCCTCTTTACTAGCTTTATTACTGCCTTAGTGAGGTAGAGGAGTGCGTCGACCGGGGATCGAACCCCGAATCCCATGCGTAGTCGGCGAGCATACTACTGCTGTGCCGCCGACGCTCGTGGTGTTCTTACTACTCATTTAAACTGTTTGCGATATATATTAGTGGTCAGGAAACTAATAATAATTGACTGGTGGTTGGCAATATATATATATATATATATAGTGCAATCGGCAGAAGTAGTTCATGGGCAATTGGATTGGGTCCCGATGGCTTAATGGTGTATGTGCTCTCCTTGTAACCTGAAGGTCCTGGTTTCGAAGCCCGGTGACTCTGTACTACTGAAGGGTCCCAAAACTAGGATTAAACAGCTGTCTGGTACTCCATGGTTTTCCAATGGTTCTCTGATTGATATTATCTCGTGATCAAACCTGTATACAACCCAAATTCAAATGATATTTATAGGAACGTGGAAGTGTAAAAATAAGTTGTTGCCTTCTTGTCACACAGTATTTCTTATTGTCTGCAATTGGATGTTTCCTTGATCTTGTATAGTTGAAGCATCATAATTGGTAACTTACACAGCATATTGGAATCACATGGTGTTAGCTGTGTTGCAAAGTTTTCAACTACACACAGCCGAATGCAAAATCTTCAATTTAATCGTTGAAGACTTAGAGATATGGCTCAAAATCGTTCTCAGTGACTCAAAGGTATTCATATCCGATAAGCCCTAAAGTTTTCCCATGTTTCTATTCTTTATCCTTCAGTTTTGCGCTTATTTTAGTCTTTTTGAGTCTCTTTTTCCTCTGTTTTCCTCTGCTACATGGAATGTGATAATTTGAACTGCTGGCACATCTGCTCAAAGTTCTATGTGTTGAAACTCACTCAATCATTCAGTCAAAATCTTCACTGTACTTATCAAAATCTATTTTCCTTCATAAGAGGAGAAGTCTTAACTCCGTAATGTACGCTGCTTACTTTGTTTTGATGTGTATCGGTCTATTTGAGATTCCATGACTCCAATTGTAAATGAGCAAATCTAATTAATTCTGGAAGTTCAGAAAGAGAGAACCATCGAAAACCTAACGATTGTTTATTATATAAGGTTGGAAAAAGAGGCACCGTAAATGTTGTAAACATAATTTTATACACTGAAATATCGAGCTTCCAGAAATATACATGACCATTTATCAAACGGTTGAAAAGAGAATTTCTCTTACGTGAAAGAAAAAATACTAGGGCATATTTGCATCTGCAGGATGTCCAATGTAAATACAGTGCAAAACGTTGTGATTGACAATAATACTCGTAGATGCCGAAATCCTATGCAGCGAAATTCTCATGATTCACTTATATATAGCTAAAATGGCGGGGGGACGAGTGTGGTGAGACCTGTCTACTAGCCAATTGGTTGACAGTAATTGAGGTCAAAGGTCAAGATGGACAGGCGGATACAGTTAACATATAGATGAACTGACACAGCCACAAGAGATGCAAGGTTGACTTTGTGTGAGAAACAACCAATCAACAGACTGTGTTTTCTACTAACATTAACCTACAATAATGTACGTCAAAATCTATAAATACGTGTTGATTTTCCGTAATAAACCTTCTGTTGCCTGGCCCTTGTCTTCTGTTGTTACAGTACAACCGTCCTACTGTGAAAACACAACACTATATAGTGAGAAAGTTTAACGTCATTGCAGAATGCCGAAGGATGACATTGTGGATTGCCTTCAAAAACAATTAATGTGTAAAACTTGATGAAAGTGAGGAACTCATTTCATTCTATACAAGCGTTTTATGTACTAGACTCCTAGTTACATATTACTTTAGAATGCATACCAGAATACTATCACACAACTCCAATGGAGTGAGACTTGAACACGGAATCAGTTTCTTGATATTCATATATTCAATTCCACAAAATATGCATCCACGAAATCTCAGTACGGATCCAAAAAGCTCGAGCTGCTTTCGCCAACTTACGCCATCTCTGGCGTAGGCGTGACATCCGGCTATCAACCAAGGGACGTGTGTACTACTCAGCAGTTCGCTCCGTCCTTCTCTATGGCTCTGAAACATGGCCAATACGAGTTGAATACATGAAAAGGTTGACTGTTTTTGATCATAGATGTCTACTATCTCTTTCTCACGTTAGGTGGTATAATAAGGTAAGTAATGTTGACGTTAGGCGTAGAGTGTTGAGCAAAGAGGGAAAATCAATCGAAGAGGCTATAAAGTTACATAGATTGAGATGGCTAGGTCACGTGCTGCGCATGCCTAACCATCGCCTCCCCCCTCCCCCGACGGGCATAACTAGCTGATATAGGTGCAGGTTGGAAAAGAGTAAGTGGTGGCCAAACAAAAACATGGCATCAATCCATGAAATCCTTGACAGTTAAACTGAGTCAGGTAGGGAGATGCAGACTTCCGGGTTGGGGCCCTCGGGACTCTAAGAATCAATGGCTGGAGACAATAGATGACATGGCTCAAAATCGTTGTCAATGACGCAGATGTATTCAGTCTCTGTAATCTTTCATATTCCTTTCTACCATTACTCACTCTGTTTCACTATTATACTTGTCAAAACTCTATTGATTCTCTTCACTCATCTTCTTGTCTACCTTTGTGTGCTATTTGGAACGTGGCAACTCGAACTGCTTCACTTCGGTGCCAAGTTCTATGTTGAATCCAGACAGACAGACAGATTTTGAATTGTATGCTTTAAAGTGTTTTGAAATATTTAAAGTGATGAAGTATTTGGGGCGAGGAAATAGTTAACGAGGATCACTATACTTGTGAGTAATAAAATTAAAGATATTTTAGGGGAAACTAAGGAAGAGCAGTGAGAATTTTAACATATCCGTTTGAACATACACACATCCTTAATGTATTTATTATTTTTTTGTAACAAATTCTTATATTTCTTTGTAATTGTATATTTTAAAACGATTTTCATTCGCTAATCAACATAATACGTTGAACTTTTCAAATCCTTCCTAGCTCTATTACTGATACTCCTAACCTACCTCATCCAAAACCTTTCAATTCTCATAATTCACCAAGTTCACAAGTGGCTCGAACAGTGAGGCATCTTCGGCGTATTCGGCATATATTCGGTGATTCTGTAAGTAATTTTTAAGTAAATTTTAAGGATTTATTATTGTAACCTTATAATTCCTTATAGTCTACTCATGCTTTTTCTAGTTGATTCCTTTTTAGAAATGAAATCATGTACTTTTGGGAGCCAGACCATTGTAAGACAGTTCTTAAGCTGATTACGTTTTAACTGATTAAAAATGCCCATTAAAATTTTCAAAAGAATGGATACTGAACAAAGAGTACTCTTTTCGATAACTTCATCATCAGGCTCCACAGTTATATATACATAGTAGTAGTGAATGAATGAATTAGTGCTGTGAATAACATTAATTTTTAAATAACATCGAATCAATAACATCAATAGATTAGAGTTCAATAGCATCAACATAAAAATAAACTAAATGTCAGAAAAATTAGGAAAGATAATATTACAAATTCATGGATTTCTAGTCTCCACTGAATGCCGGCCAGGGCAGGAGTAGTGGATGGACTTGCTTATTCTGCACACAGAGCACTGGTTGTTTGAGGCGAATCGCAATAGCCTCTGCTGTTTGGAGCATGCGGTGCTTCGATGATTTTGGAAATTTATTAGGCACCTGGTAGATGATAGAGAAGGATTTTTCAATGCTAGCTTTTTGGTTGGTTTGCACCAGATGGTCTAATATCTAACTGTTGGTGGTTTTTACCTCACCTTTACTTAGCTATACTGATAGATGTTCTCGAGCACGAAAAATCAAGTTCCCACCTAGAGTAACGGCCAATATAAGTCGCTACAACAAGCACAGTTGAATTGGTAGATACAATTGAAAATGGCTAGTTTTGTTTCTTCATCTTTCAGTTGAGGTAGCACCATCGGTCGTGTAGAGAATAAGGCGTGTAGTTCGCCAGTATTAAAAGTTCTTTGAACTGATATTCTTAATTTCTTCGTAATTATCTCACTTTGTATATCGCCCTTGAATTGTAGTCGTATATAAAGTGGCTTCTTGTTTACGGATAGTGAGTAGTCCTATTCCGCTTTCTTTGTCATGTGTTTCTTGATAAACTTGTCGGGATAGCTATTTTCGATCAAAGTATCATATAGAATGCTTAATTCATCTTCAATTACCTCTCTGAGTGTATAGCTCTAACTCTGTGGCTGAGGGTTTTCACTAAATTTCTTTTGTAATTGATAGGAACGAACCTGTGAAAATGTTTATATTGTCCTGTCCAAGTACTTTTTCTATGCAAATTTCTTTTTATGCTACCAGTTGATTTTCTTGTAAGTAGGACATCCAGGAAGGTAATTCTGTCTTGGGATTCCTCTTCTCATGTGAATTTCATAACCGAATGTACTTCATTGAATTCAGTAATTAGTGTACTCCTATCAGAACCATCATCACAAAGAATGAATGTATTATCTATATATCAGCAATAAAATGAGAACTTACTGATAAGGTTGTTCAAAGGTCCATTTTCTAGCTTACTTAGAAAGAAATCAGCCAGAATGGGACCCAATGGGGAGCCCATCGCCACCCCGTCCACTTGCCTGTAAAGCGTGCCGTCAAATTTGAAGTTTACATTCATGGTACACCTTAATAACAATTCTTTTAGGATCCTTTGGTTGTTGGCTCATTAGTTCATATCTTACTCCAGCAAACAAATCTACCCTCCTTAGAAGTACATAAATTCAAGCCGTTTCACTTTAAAACAACAGACAAAATAAAAATCAACAGAAATAGAACACACTCTAAACATTGTTTACTGGTTAACTAGGTAGACTTATTAACATCGATCAGATCAGTAGTTGGGGACTCTTGTACCGATGCCTTATTGTTATCTGACCACTCACAACTCTCTATAATCTAACCTCATTGTAGATAAGTTGGCTTTTGCTGGAACGTGGTGACTATGTATGTGCAGCATACATCCTAGGTAGTGAAAATTCACAACCTCACGGACTGATTCATTCATGTCCCTTAACCAGAACACCTCGTCATATTTCTTCGTACTGCCGCGCAGGACATTTTAGCTTTGCTTGACAGCCATATATATTGCCGTCAACCGAGATGATGCTATTCGGAAAATACTCTATTGGCCATATATCCATCTGAGCTGCCAATTGTACATAGTTTCTTTTCGCTTAACAATGGGATTTTAAAGCCTAATTCAAAGAACAACTATATGTTGTTGTGTTGCTGTCTTTTAATTCTTTTGTTTTTTTAAGTTTGTTCTGTTGAAAATCTGAATGATCATATTTTTAACCTTTTAGTACATGTTTTCTTACCTTATGTATTCTATGATGTCCTACTTTGGGTTATTGGCAAGTAAATTAAATAATGTTAAATAATGATTTTATTTACTTGTTTTCCCTTTTTTTGACGGGGGGGGGGATTTCGAAAAAATGCGATGTATCTGGTTGAAACCAGTTCATGATGACATGTTGCTAATGTGTGTGTGTGTGTGCTTTGAATTGTGTTTCCACAAGATTATAAGGTAATAATCACGTGTTCAAGATTCACTTTTGTAAAACCTGAATAATTGACAGATGTTTTATTTGTAAATTTTTCAAACTTTTTCGGTCTAATTGTACTTTTATTGTTTATTAATAATATTTCATAGTTTGGATATACCAGTTCTGCAACGTCTGCTTCAACAGGTGCACTTACAGATGAAGATAAAGATTCTGTTTGTTCACCTAAAGTTAGCCAGCTACGATCTCATGGATATCATTCAGTGGATTCGGTTAGAGGTTCAAGTTCACTGTGTGATTGCTCACCAGATCGGATAACAGATAGTAATGATAAGAAGTCTAATAAAACCTCTTATTCCCATACATCATCATATCCTGTGATTGCATCAGTCTATTGGAATGACTCAGAGACAGAGGTTAGTCTTATTATCACTGTTGTTTTAGTTAGTTTCCCTCGATAATTGTAAATTCTGCGCTCACAGATTTAATAAACTTGTGTTTACGGTATTTTACTTGTGCCATTATCATAAATCGGCTTACAATTCGCTCTACTGTAAATCCTAGATCCTCAAACTAACCTGGGTAATCCAAATGTTCAATCCTCAATTTACATATATTCGAGGAGAAATTTCACCACCATTATTTCCCTTGGAAACTGAAGTTTTATTCAGATCACAATATATGATCCACTTGATGCCATGAATGGTAGTTACGAATGCGTGTATAATTGTATAAAATCAGGTACTTCTGATTGATTGATTGAGATGATTAGTTGCCTCAACGAGTAAATTGCAAATTTGATTTATGGAACTGCCAGTTCGCCCAAGTAATCAACCAGAAGTAGTTGGGTAGTTAAAATTAATTCAACTCTCTGCTGAGTCAAACTGATGTGTGCTCGACCTCTTGTGGCCATTGAGAGCGGAAGACATGAAAAGATTAGCTGTCTTCGATCATAGGTGTCTGCGTTCTATCTCCCGCGTGAAGTGGTATAATAAGGTGAGCAATATTGAGGTTAGGCATCGGTCGAGTGATAGGTAAGGAGGGGAAATCAATCAACGAGGCTGTGAAATTACATCGACTGAGATGGTTAAGACATGTGTTACCTATGCCTAGTCATCGCCTTCCTCGACAATGGGGAATGTTAGCTGATATAGGGCCAGGCTGGAAAAGAGCTAGCGGCGGTCAAACCAAAACATGGCTTCATCAGTCAATGAAATCCACAACAGTTAGTTAAGCAGTCACGTAGGAAGGTGTGAACTTCCTGGTTGGGGTCCTCGGATGGTAAAAACCAATGGTTGGAAACAATTGGTGAAATGGCTCAAAATCGTTCTCAATGGCGGGCGCAGATGCATCCACTCCTTGCGACTTATGATTTCCAATGAAACTGTTTTGTTCTTCATTATTACTACTCCTTTGTCTCACACCTCTGTTTTCTGTCTCTAATATGCATTTCTCCTACTTTCTTCTCTTCCTTTGTGTGCTACAAGGAGGGAGTGTGGCGACTTGAACTTACGCACATATGTGCAAAGTTCTATGTCGAAAACCGACCGACCGACCGTGCTTGGCCTCAAATGAGCGAAACGGTCGTCTCGTATTCGCTTCACATCGATCTGGCTAGCCAAGCATTGCTGGTTGATGTGGGCAGCATAGAACTACTTGGTCCAATCAATCAGTAGTATATAGTCTTATTCAATTATATGCCCTGTAAACTGTATTCTGATTTTCCAGCTCTCCGTGTATAAACTGTGTTGTTTAGCAAGTGGCAGTGAATTTATTTCTTGCTTACTCTGGACATAATAATCAAGTGTAAAAGTGATCAAGGCTCTATAAAATGAAATTATCCATTGCTTTTCTTTTCATGATTTCATCATTGTCTCCGAAATCTAATCTCTTGCATAGGAAAAATCCGATTACATACTTCAACGATTATAAGTCGTATCTGGCCTAAGATGCGAATCTTAGGAAAATCTCCAGCTATCCATTATATCACCTGGTTACAGGCAAAGATAAGAGACTTGTTAACGGACTTTTGTTAAGGAAAAACATATAATTATACATTCTTTGCCACATTAATGTCCAGTTAGGTCAGAGGAGAATAAAGCTGTTCCAATGGGTTGGTAATCAATCAACCCAAGGTTAAACAAACTGTACAATCAGAGGTTATTCCATATCCAGATTTGACGAATAAACACTTCTACCTCTACAGTCATTGGCTTGAAATGTTGATTTCAATTTTGACTGCTTCCTATCAATCTGCATCACTCTACAATCCAAGTATCTAATCCAATAATTTATATGTGAAAAAAAATCACGTCGATGAAAATACTCTGGCACTTTTAAGCCATAACCAGGAATTGTTTTTTGTGTAAATAAGTAATACAATACTTTCTAGACGGTTGCGGTCAATTGTAATGATGATGTGAACTATTTTATGCGCTTTGGTCAATGTGTTTTCGTCTGTACACTAAATTTCTGTTTTCATTTTGGGTGTATATAATAGGGGTTATGTGCAACGGAGAATAATGCGATTAAAGCCACCTCTAGTAAAATAACATCAAATTCTTTTTCTCATGGTATCGTTTTTCCATTCTGCATACTATTTCCTAAAAAGTTTTAACAAATGGATAAGAAAAATAGATAGACATATTTTGTAAGATTTTGGAAGAATCACTTCATCATTTCGGTGTTTTAATGTAGGGACGTGACATAATGAGAGGAATTACTAATAAGTAACATCATGGACGCTCGCCGACCATGCACATGGTCCGGGTTCCGATTCCCGGCCGACGCACTCCTTTACCTCGCTGGGCCAGAAATAATGCTGGTGAAGAGGAAAGGTTGGCCATGAGGCTAGCAACCCCATCCTGTAAAATAAACACTGCTACAGAAACTTCCAGCCACTAGCTTGAAGCCCTATGTTCCACTGGGGAACGTGAAGGAGAAAAAAAACAACATCGAAATAGGTTTAAAATAACTCCTTTTTATACAATCAGGTAGCAATGTCAAGTGTTTTATGGGTTTGTGAGAGGGGGGATGGGAAATATGATGAACACAGTTGCATAGTAATTGAGAGGATTTATAGCCCAGGTGATGGATGTATTTGATTTGGTTGTGCTCTCTTAGCTAGTCAGCTTACTTGCTAAGCTTTGATTATCCTTCTAGACAACATTTCTAGCACTCACTTCACATTGAATTTAAACTGCTCAGCTCAAAAAACTCAAAACAAAGTATCAAAAACAACTACATAGTAGTGTGGAAAATAATTTAGGTCAGAATGGTGATAAGCGGTTGGCAGAGGCGACAAACACATTTCCCTGTCAAAACTGACCAACAGTTTTTTAAAGATAAGGTGATGTACAAGTCAGTGTGCTTGAAATCATGTAATCGAGCATGTCGGTATTGACCAAATGGTTAGTAGGTATAGTCCTTTTATTGATTTTCTGTGCAAAATCATCTTGAAATGTGGTGAGAGCTGGCTGCTAGCCAAAGTTGGTAGACAGTAATTGACGTCAATGTTAGTGTCCCCAATATTGGTGGTGAGAAAATGAGAACAAAGGCTTTGTGTAGGCGGATACAGTTAGCATATGGATGATCTGACACAGCCACAAAGAGATGCAAGGTTAACTTTCTGTGAGAAACAACCAATCAAAAGACTGTATTTTCTACTAACAATAATCTACAATAATGTACATTAAAATCTATAAATATGTGTTGATTTTCCTTTATAAACGATCTGTTGCCTGGCCCTTGTCTTCTGTTGTTACAGAAATACTATTCTTAGGGAAGGTAGACTCTTGCAATAGTTGCATTACTCTTCGTTTCTATACTTTTATCAATAATAACTTTATGCAATCCATACTTACTACTTTGCACGATGTGTAGAGGATTACTTTCTTCATTTACTGTTCTGTTGACTTACCCAGATCACGTACATCTACAATTCTAGAGCAATGTAATATTTAGGTGTCGAATATGTTCATTCGACAGAGTTATACTGGACTCATTGTTTTTTATTGTGAGGTTATAAATTTAATGTGCATCTAAATATTTATTATTGCTTTTTGGTTTTTTTGGATGAATGTTCACAAAATTGTTTGTTGAATGTGTTGTGATATTGATGAAGGATAGGTGGCTTTTACGTCAATACACATTGTGATTATCTTCAAATCAGTTTCAAAGTATGCAAATGGGATAATTTGAAGGATTGTATGTATTTCTTGTAGATACCATGAACTAATATTTTCACTTCCGTTACCTGCGTTTCTTTTCTAGTCATCTTAAGTACGACAGGATATTATCCTCTTGAGGAGATGACATGAACTTCAGCAGATACCCATTAGTTATCCCTTATTTAAAATAGGTTCATAATTGATATGATTATGAACAATAAATTCTGTTCGAAACGTCATCCAGTAAATAATACTGTTTCACTGTGTAATACATCTAATAAACAAACTAATATGGAAAGGTTCGTAATGTCTACTTCTTTTCCCCGTAGGATCCAAACGGAAGCAGTACCACGACTTTTCCTTAATTATCGTATTACAAAAAGTTTAAGAATTTCATTTTATAATGTTTCTAGCCTATTACTTCAGGTTACTTTAATAATATAAGTTACTGTTAAGGAAGTTAAAATAATCATTGCGGTTGTTAGTCTTCATCATATAAGGTGGTTAGAACAATGAGTCACTCATCTTCCTTGGTGATAAGAATGAAGGAGTATCATGGGATGGTTTGATAAAAAAATGGTACACATCCAGGAAATCACTTTGTTTTGAGTCATTTACCTTGGTTTACATTTGTTTAGAAGCTTGCTGAAATGCCTGAGATGTATTCACAGTCTGCCACCTGTGGAAGGTTATAAACATCTACACAACTCTAAATTATATTATTCTTTCTCCTATACAAGTTGGTACATTGTGCTGTTGTTCTACTTCTATCCTCTACTTTTTATGTGGTATTTTGGGTCGATAGTGTAGGTACAATCCATTTTGTCAGTGACTCCGTTGAACCTTTTTTTATTCTGTTGCGTTCAGAGTGGAACACGGGGCTTCAAACTTGAGCTTTCAAGTCTTGTTAACAGTGGTGTTTATTTTTTACGGGGTGGGGTTGCTAGCCTCACACCCAGCCTTCCTTGTTTTCTGAGCTTACAACTGGCTAAGCGAAGTTTAGGAGTGCGTCGGTCGGGCGTTGAACCTCGGACCATGTGTGTGGTTAGTGAGTATTCTACTACTGAATCACCGACGCCCTTTTTTGGACCTAATTGCTGAGTGTACTTCTTATCCGAAATGATTTCAATGTTATAAATCAAATTCACTATTTGCAATCTACACAGTTTCTTTTGGAAACCAAGCACTACCGGTTGATATGAGAGAGTGGCATACAACTACTTATCTCAACCAATCAGTAGTATATAACTTTAGTAATAATTTGTGAATTAATTGTAAATACATTGATAAAGCCTATCCTAATCTATATTGTGAGTTATTTTTGTTTTTGTTGTCTCATTTTTTAAAGGTTACCAAGAAATCATTACTATGGTACAATTATCAAGTGACATTATCAGGTCAAACTTTAGTGTTAACACGAGAGAAAAGTCCAAGTCAGGTGAATGAATATTCATTTTTGTTGTTTTTGTTCATCCATTATCCACCCATATTAGCATAATATGAATTTTGCAGTTTACCCTTTTTCCTACCTAGTGTTTGTTTATTTACTGCTTATAACTACTGACTGGCCCCTACATGTGCGCGTGTGCGTGTATGTGTACGTGTACATAGACAGGTGTTTTTTGTTTTATAAACTGATTAAATTAGATATATTCTAGTATTTTGCACTGTTAGAAAATCTACCAATAGTTTTGTTATTCCCCTTGTTGTTATTTTCCCCATTTACATAATAAACCAATACAAAAGAAAATATATATTACCTAGCCAGGTTACAAATAGTGGTAGTGTTTGTTTGTTCGTTTTTTCTTCTTGTTGCTATTGCATAATAATAAATATGTTGTTACAAGTGTTTTCCACCATTGATTTTTATGCGTTTCATGTTGAATAGACTACTACAGTGCGGTGTATTTTATAAAAAAAGAGTGTGAAACTATTCACTTTAATTATTCCCTAATGTATGGTATAATAAACTTTAGTTTTACAAATGCAAAACTAAGGTTATCATATCTTCGTGATTTAATAAGTGCAGAATAGTACTTTAAGGTAGGAAGTAGATATTTCAATGATATATATGTATATATAAACTCACACACACACACACCTTATCTGCAGACCAAGGTAATTTCTTGCCTGGATAATTTCACATTTAGTCAGAAGCGAGATACAGTCTTATTTGGCTTTAATTCAATTTTGATTTTCCCGTTGATTGATTGGGGTGAAATGTTCCACCTCTATTCACATTTCGGCTCCTGGTGTGGACGCTTTGATGATGTTCTAGGATTAACCGGAAGCTGGACAAGAGGTGGCTCTCGTGACCCAAGTGATACAGTGGATAATGCTTTGGCGTTTGAGACGATGGGCACTGGGTTCGAGTCTCATTGGGAACAGGTACATCCAGATGACGAGTCTCAAACAGGATGAAATACACACATCCTGGATTCCACTTTTAGCTACCATTAATCAATTTATAATGATTTTTCCAATGCACTTCATTTTTCCCCCAATAACTTTTTATTATTATTATTTCAAATTTTTTTCTATCATTATTAGGTTTATCCTAACGATAGTCTAGATCATGTTCATATTCCTTTACCTGGAGAAAGTATTGTTTGGCATGTACTGAATGAATTGCCTGATTTAGTTTGTCCATCTTCACCTTCTCATTGTGATCGGGAAACTGGAATTGTCGGCATACTGAACAGTTCAAAGCTGAATTTAACATGTTATTTACATTTTCCAAATCGTCAAATAGCTTCTTGTATATTTGATCATCTTGGGCCACAGAAGACTATGGAAGACTGTCAAGGGGTAAGTTGTTTTTTCTCCCTTCATCAATACTATTCATTAATTTCTGTCTGGTTCGATTATCATATCTCACTTGTATTTTAATGTCTCAAGTTTTTGTTGTTGTTGTTGAAACTATTCAATCTCTCAGATAAGATAGATAATATGCTACTCAAATGATCATTTATAGAAAGCAGAACTTATGTGTGCTGCTTCACTCTCATATCGTCTACTACACCGTAGATAATGTGCACTATTATTTTTTAGAATTAAAATGACAACTTGGTACATTACAGGCACCAAGAGAAGGGAAGGGATAGAATGAATGAGGGACGTCACCTAGCAAGCAAATACTTGTTAACATTTATCATTCATGCTGCTTTCGAGAAGGTTCAAAAGCAGGAAATTGCAATATGTTTGCCACTGATCGTGCTTCTTGGCCATATCTGTAGTGTCTCGAGCCACCCATCCTAACTATCTCTTGGACGCTAACCAGGAAGTCATGGTGTACTAATGGATGCTTACTTCACCCAAATATCCTTCATCCCACGGCGCTACGTCATAGGCTTACCACCTCTACTTTTTCCACCCTGTCCCAGGGCCAGCGAACAGAGACCCATACGGATAGCCTCTGGTATGACATTCGTAGCACATGTCCAAGCCAGTGAAGCCGGCGTTCGTTTCCAGATGACGATACTTAATAAATGGTGATCTCCACTGTGTTCAAACACAGGCTGCTGGACCTCAGGATTACTCACGAGATGATGCCATCAAACGGAGACAGTAATGATGGAATATGCAGAATCGCCTCATAACCTTACCTTGGGGGTGGGGCTAGGTTTCACAGGCGTAGAACAAGATTATGCGCACTGAAGCAGTGTATACCCGACCTATGACATCCAGACTGATGTTGCGACGGTGCCAGAGATAGCGTATGCGACCCAGGCTTTCACTATTCGGTTAGAGATCTCGTCCGTCACACTTCCACCAGCAATCACACAACTATTCAGATACTCGAACTTATCGATGACTTCAAACGGGTAAGTGCAGCTATTGGCTCCTGCCAATCTCGCAACAGTACTTTGCACTTAGATAGCGTGAAGTACACACCATACTTACTGACACTGATCGCCTAAAAGCTTTCCAGCCCTTGGAGTTCCTTTCAAGCCTTCGCTTTGTTTGGTGGGTAGATATTAATAACGTACGGTACATTGGTACCTGCTCTTGGTTTTACCACTTTCCAGATGGTGTCACTTGCTTTGTTAGACTTAAGAAAAACATGTCCTCATTTGTATAGCTTATCAAATCTTCTTGACGGACAAGTAAGATTTCAACTTCAATCTTAACCTGTGTTTGTCTGAAAGAATACTGAGGACTATTTTTATGGTTTCACCATGATTTTGTATATTGTTCACTTTCCTACTTCGTTGCATTTGTGAATTTTTTCCTTCAACTATCAATACATACGTTTACAGTAGGTATTGATAAGAATGTAAACCAGTTCTATCAATCTATTTCATAACTCATTATTGCAATCGAAACCTTATATATCTATAGTTGATTGCGGTAACTTCTCGAAAGCGGTACAAAAAGTGGTATTCATCAATTCATTGATGAGATAAACAATTCGTTATGATATTTTCTCAGTCTGACAAATGTCTCTGAAGACATATAACGTGAAGTTTGCAGATAATCTTAATATTTGATTTTCTCTCAGTATTATTGGTGCAAGGTAAGATTGCTAGATGAAGTAGTTTGAAACGATAGATAAGCTTGTAGGCTAGTGATTGAAGTGGTTACACCGTCGATGAAACGTTGGGTTTGTCATGTCAGACCAATCGAAATATTAGAATTAGGGTCAATTATACGTATGACCCAGAGGCGATCAACTGTAATTATGTTTCAAATACTGAGCTTATTTTGATATTCTTATGTATTTTCGTCGTAATTAATCTTTATCAATAAATTCCAATGCATATTCACTCAGGATGGTTTACAGGTTTTACTAACGAGTTATTTTGTAATTAATTTCTGTCTATAGAAACAACCTGTAACTCAAACATCACATGGATTACTTTCTAAACTGTCTACGGGACGATCTAGTCTTGGTCTTGCTGGACCTTCTGGTGTAACACCATTGTTCAAAGCAATGGGAACTGCAGCAGCATCAGTTGGTATGCAACTTGCTGATTATGTAAATTTCCCAGGGATGTCACAGTCTGTCTCTGTTCCTTCTCAATCATCACCTTCAACTGGAAATGGAGATATTAGCAAGCTTAAAGGTAGTGTGTTTTTTCCCTTGTGGGTTGATAATGGTCAAGTAAAATGACATTTAGTACTTATCTGTGTCTATTATATTACTGCCAGAAATGTGTAGGTTGTGAACTACCAATGGTTGAGTGATCAGCAGCTACTCTCTTCTGCAGCATCCTTTATATTTTTGAGCTATATTTGGTTATCCTGATTAAGGTATAGAAGGGCGTAAGTATCAACTTAGAAGTCACCTACCTCTACCTCTACCTGTTCCAGTGCGTATCAGCCAACTTTCAACCAGTGTAAGACAAGTCGAACTCTGCTCCCCCTAACTTGATTTTGGTGCTTATGTAGTATCACGCAATACAAGTGTAGCTTGAATATGCACATATTTATTGAATGGAAAACTGGTGAATAATGGTGACCTATCTTATTACTTATTTCACTTAGAAAATATCCGTTGCAGGATTTTTTCCCCACCCTATTTTCAAATTTATAGTAAATTTTGAACTGATTGAGAGTTTATGGTGTTGATTTCTCTAAGCATTGCAATTCTTATAACAATAGTTTCATTAAGAAAACTTTGAAATCATTCTAACAATTTGGTTTACCTAAAAACTCCGTATTTGTTATGAGTGCTAATCGTGTTGACTGTAATAAATGAAAAAGAGGCTTCTTGCGACACACTAAGATTTTTTTAAAATTCTAATTTATTACCATCGGTATTTACTGTATTCAGACGTGGGAAATCGATCACTTATCTTATTGATAAATGAGCAGTTTCCAATGAACACCTACTTCGTATATACACGTTGAATTATTCTATGGAAGCAATCTTCAAATATGCATTGAAGTGGACCAGATCTCTTTAGCTACTTGCCCTATTCAGGTAGGTAATTACCTGGGGTTCTAGTGAGAAGTCGTAACCAGTAGGGTGCAGCAGGTCGGGTGTGAGGACAAATACTCGCCGAAGACATTGGCTAAGGGTCGCGCTATATCATGAATTGGCAGAAGTTAGAATTCATGGACTGGCCATTGGATCGGGTCCCAGTGGCCTAATGGTATACGAGCTCGCCTTGTAACCAGAAGGTCCTGGGTTCGAATCCCGGCGGTGGGTGCGTACTGTTGAAGAGTCCCAAACTAGGACTCCCAGGTTTTCCAATGGTTCTCTAACCAATGTCAGCTCATGATGAAAATCCTATATTCCCTATGCTTGAAAATGTTAATACGTGTTTGTATGCATGTTAAATTTCTCATCGATATCACATGATACAATGTCTGTATTTGTTTCCAATATCATGTTGTTTTATTGTTATTGTTTTGCACAGGTGAGCAAACTTCTAAAGCTAAACCATCTGATACACCTGAGTCTACAACACCACAGCCTAGTAAATCTAGAGATCTTAAATTTCTTCCATCTTTCCCCCGTGGTCGTGGTCGTTTACAACAGGCGCTTACTCGAATGAGACGTGCAGCTACAGCATCATGTGATCCTACAAGTCGTTCAGGTGCAAATGTAACAACTCGTCGATTTGCTTCATCACATAATTATGGAAAAAATAAACCTGGTCTAATTAGTTTACCTTTTCAAACATCTATTGAACCTGTCAGTCCTTCAAGTGAATTAGATAGCAGTTGTTCTAACATCACATCTCAGCCATCTGATCTCAGTCCTTTAACACTATTGCTTGCCACTTCTGTTTCGCCGTCACCTTCACTGCAAACTTCTTGTTTAACATATATGCAAGTGGAACCAAAGGAATCGATCAATGCTAACGTTGATTCATCTGGTTAGTCAGCATGTAGTGTTGTATTGTCTGTTTCTTTTTTTGGTTTTGTATAGAAGATTCTATAGCTAAGAAAATAATGGCATATTAGTGTAAAATTTCAGTGACCATGATATTTAGGCTTAATTAATCGTGCTCGGGAACACCTACTAGTGTGGCTAGATAAAGATATTGTTAAAACCATAAACAGTTCTATGTTAGATCACCTCGTCCAAACAGGCCACAAAGCTGGTATTGAAGAGTCTTTCTTTATTATCTGTCGGGTATCAAATAAATTACCAAAGGTATCTAGATGCCGAACACTTTAAACAGCAGAGGCTATTGCCATTCACTGTTAATCAACCGGATGTCTGCGTGCAAAAGAAACAGGTTCAGCCACTATTGCTACCATAGCTTGCTGTGGAGCCTGTAAATTCATAAATTCTGTGTTACTTCCCTTAATTTATTTGATGTTTAGTTTAGTGTTACATTAATGCATATAATCTCTTACTGATGCTCTTGAACTGTAATCTATGGATATCATTGGTTCACTGTGGTTTAAAACACTAATTTTATTATTAAAAATATTTCTTTCTTATGGTCATATAAATGTAGAAGCTATTACACAGTGATTTGGAAACTACTTAGCTACTACGGGGTGTCGCCACTAACAGTTATACACCTCATCCAACAGTTGTACGATAATGCTGCATGTCAAGTAATCCACAACGGGAAACTCACGGAATCCTTCTAAGTGAATATGGGAGTAAGATAAGCTGGCTGCCTACTGTCTCCAATGATTTTCCTAATTGCGGGTGGTAGACCGGATAATGTGACAGATAGCGGGCAATGGGGAAACAGGCAGAAAATAGATCCACACAAGAAACTTGGAGGATCTGGACTTCGCCGATAATTTATGTTTGATTCCCACAAACTGGAAGGTATGCAAGTGAAAAGCAACAAGTTGGCAGAAGAAGCATCAAAGATAGGCCTTCAGGGGAACATAGAGAAAACAGGGGTGGTGAAGATTCCAACAGTAACAACAACAGACAACAATCATCATAAATGGGAGGAATCTGAAAGAAGCAACCTCTTTTACCGACCTGGGAAGCATCGTTTCAACTACAGACGGATGGAGCTGATGAGGATATCGAAGCGAGGATCAGGAAAGCAAGTCAAGCTTTCATTACTCTCAAGTCTGTGTGGAGCTCGATAGCACCCAGCATGAAAAATGAGATCCGGATTTGCAACTCCAGTGTGAATTCACTGCTACTATACGGATCAGAGACTTTTCGCGTCACGGAGGGCACTTCGAACAAACTACAGACCTTCATCAACAGCTGTCTTCGCTCAATACTCAAAATCAGATGGTCAGAAAGGATCAGCAATAGGAGAGATCTCTGGGAATAAACCAACCAGGAAACGATTGTGCAACAATTAAGCAGGAAGAAATGGAGGTGGATTGGCCATACTCTGAAGAAACCATCAAGTGACATCACATACCAGACCATCGCTCGAGTGGAACCCGAACGGGAAGCGGTGAGTTGGTCGTCAGTGCGAGGGTGACGTGGAGGAGGTGATGTGAAAAGGAGATGAAAACGTGTGGGCAGACTTAGAGCCAGGTGAAAACGTTGACAGAGAACCGAACGCAATGGAGACGTTCGGCTGAAGTCCTATGTTCCTCTAGGACTTAAAAGAAAAAATAATGATAATAAATGTAGAAGCTGATGACGAATTTATCGAAAAGAATATTGTTTGTTCATCAATCAATCTTCTAAATATTGTTTATGCTTGAAATACTTAAGAGAATAGAAAATCTAATTCGTACAATATTGATTTGAATAGAACATAATAAGATAGTATGATACTATCGATGACTCCATATTTTAAAATATTTCGACTACTTTTTTCACTAACATATTTTGATCCTTTACTTGCACGTTATATTGGACAGAATATATTTCTTCGGTAAATCACTATGCAATTTCCCAATGATGGTCAACTACCATAGGCATTAATGGTCAGTCCGAGAAGGTTCCCGAGTACTTGACTACTATTGTCTCTGTGTAAAGGTTTGCCACCCCCCGTCCCAATATTGAGTAAGACAAACAATTCCCCTCGGTTACTTACTTTTTACTTTACTTCGGCTATCTCCTACGGGAGGATGAGCCGGCTTCATGAACATCTCGAATCATCGCTGCCCAGGCGCGGCGATGAGAGTCGTTTGTAAGAGAGTTTTTGAAGTTTCATGGGAATTTGGTACGAGTGATGTCCCCAGAATCGCTCGGCCTTTTGTTTGAGAGTGCAGCTCTAGCCTTTACACAACCAAGTGTGACCTACAAGGCAGTAGGAGTGGAGTAGGGAGTCCACTATCCATTGGCAGTCGGTGACCGGAGTTCGGTTCATACGCCTTTTTGAATGGGGCCAGACATCCAGGACATCCAACAAGCCCTTTGTCCATACGTCTGCCGGTGAGCTCCAGTGACCTTCATACGCCAGTCGTTGGAGGTTTGGAATCAGGGTTTAGCCATCTCCCCTAGAGTGTCATCCAATGGGCAGTCAACCCGGTGAAGAGCGCCGGGCATCCGCTTTCGCCCTCTCACTTTGGTGAAAAGCACCTCCGCCACGTGAAGGCAGTGAGTAGGACTTCCTCAGGAGAGGCTATGTAAGACGCCCGGTCATATGGGAGCATTTGAAGAGGTGTGCGGAGGGGTGGCCAACCCGGTTGGGTGAATGAGACGTGTTGTACATAACTATGCACAGTTTACATAAATGTACTGGACCATATTAGCGGATGCAGGATTAACTTGGAAGAAAGCTGGTAACAACTAGAACAATCTGTTGACTTTGATTGCCATTAAGTGTGTTTAGTGATGTTTTACTACTTTTGAATGCATTACTTTCCGTTTCTGTGTCCTAAATGGGTTCATAAGCCATTTTATCTTTTTTTATGTCAATTAGTTATTACTTATGTATATATATTTAATGGCACTTAATTTCTTATAATGGCTTTATCATGATAGAAGAATCTCCAAATTATATACACAAAGAGATATCTCAACATCATCCAAATACAACAGATACAACGATATCTAGTCAACAATCGAAATTAGATTTTAAAACAACTGATCAACTTACTGTCATTGTATCTGAAAATAGTGTCCAAGATGCATCAGTATCAGAAGGCAATGCTGACAAAAGTAGACGTAAATTGGCGAATTCCATGAAATCTAAGCATCACTTTGTCCCACTGCCTATACATATTCGTGGTCCCCTACCACTGCATAAATGTCCTAGAAGTACACTATCACCGGTAAGCTGCTTTAATTCTGATTGAATTTTTTTTATTGATTGAAAAGTCAGTCTAGAATCTCATACTGACTTTCCACTCTTGAGGGCAATTCATTTTCATCCTTTATACCATGAATATACCTCGTAGCTTACTGCACGACTGTTTTCGTGGAGGCTTAACTGTGTATACATAAAGTCGTATTTTATCTTTCAAAATAAACATTTACATAGTATTCGCTTATAAGAACTCTTTTTTATATGCGCATCCTACGTTAATATGTAAGTGCTGACTTGATAGTTTTAAGCAGTGCTTAACCTAAATAGCTGAATGCTGTCATCTAAGGGATTTTCTAGTGGCCTAATCTGAAACCAATCAAATCCCTACAAACTAACATTTGAAAATTAATCCAATCCATGCTACTGACTGCTTACAAGAAAAAGCCGCTTGGAGTTCTGGTAACAAGTTGTGACTAATAAGTTTCCACCGGGTCGGGCGTAAGGACAAGTACTCGCTGATGAAATTGCCCGGTGGTGGTATAATAGGGTGAGCAATATTGAAGTTAGGCGTCGAGTGCTAGGTGAAGAGGGTAAATCAATAGACGAGGCTGTGAAGTTACATCGATTGGGTTAGATGGTTAGGACATGTGTTACGTATGCCTAGTCATCGCCTTCCTCGACGGGCAGTGTTAGCTGACATAGGGTCAGGCTGGGAAAGAGCCAGTGGTGGTCAAACCAAAACATGGCTTCATCAGTCAATGAAATCCACAACAGTTTAACCTAGCCACGTAGGAAGCTGTTGACGTCTTGGTTGGGGTCCTCGGGACGGTAAAAACCAATGGCTGGAAAAAATCGGTGATATGGCTCAAAGTGATCGTTCTCAATCACAGCGCAGATGCATCCACTCCTTGTGACTTATAATATCCAATGAAACTATATTATTCTTCGTTATTACTATTCCTTTTGTTTCATATCCCTGTCTACTGTCTCTATTTTGCATTTCTTCTACTTTCTTCTCTTGCTTTGTGTGCTAAGCGAAGTGTGGCAACTCAAACTGCTGCACATCGGTGCAAAGTTCTACATTGAAACCGGTCAGTCAGTCTGGTGGTGGCGGTAAAATCTCTAATTAACAGAATTTAGAACTCATAGACCATTGGATTGTGTCCCAGTGGTTGGATGATCAACGAATTCACCTCGTAACCTAAAGGTCATAGGTGCATATTGTTGGGGAGTCTCAAACTGGGGCGAAACAACTGTTCAGGACTCCCTGATCAAGCTTGAAGCCAAACCTACAAATTAACACTTGAAAACAGAATTTTTATTTTTTAATTATTTAGAGAATCAATATACAGTTTACTGGTTGCTAACATTATAAACTGATTACTAGTTAGTTAAATATTAATTTGAATAATCATATTAATTGCTAGCTGGATAATAGAGTAAATGATCCTACAAAAGGAACTAACTTAGATGTAACCTTCAGAGAAGTTGGGATATTTTTCGCCACTGACTACTCAAGAAGAATTAATTGGTCTACTGGTACTATGTTTTTGTTAATTCTCTAGCGAACACATCAGAACAAATCAGAAAACTTATATATTCACAGTATGAACCATCTGTTAGACTAATACAGTTTACTATCAAACGATACTTTATATCCTTGCAATTCAGATAACTTCGGTAGGGAAGTTTCAATACTTTTATTTGGTTTACGAATCTCTTATCACTTATTGCCCAGAGTGTATATCTTTCGCACTCATATGTTAGTTTAATGAAACTTTGATAGTTACTATTGTCAATGTACACCGGCTCAGTTTTTTTTTAAAAGTTTTGATGTTAAGGAGTAAAATCTCCTCATTCAGAGATTCCCTACGATTTAGGAAAAAAACGATATCTCTTCTGCATTAGTAATTCATTCCTTTAGTTCGCCTAAACTATGTAATAAATTTATGAAATTTTGCCCAGTTTTTTGTTTTCCTTTCTTTTCCCATGATAGTTTGTTCCGTTTGTGGTTGAACTGTGCGTAACACTCGTGGAGCGATATGGTCTAAATTGTATTGGTATCTATCGTTTGTCTGGAAGTAAAGTTGCCCATGATTTTATCACCTCTGAGTTAAGCAGAGTAAGTTTTTTTAGTTTTCAAGATTAGTTACTGACATTGTTTATTATGCCTCTTGTATATGTCAAGCTAAAGTGTGTTAATTTTTGCTCATTTACGTGATATTTCCTAGGAGTTTTGTGTTAAAACTCTGTATCTTGTAGAGAGTTTAATCGAGCTTTATTGTTATGGTGTTTGTAGACTAAACTAAGTAGTTAGTGACATTCTGATAAATTGAAACCTCAAAGAATTCTCATTCGTGTGCATTTTCCTAACCATTTTTGTATATAATCAAGCCTTTTATCCTGTAATGCATAGCATTGACTTAGTAGCTGTTCTGTATTATCGTATTAGCTTAACTATAAGCGGTTGTGCACTAGTAGATGATTACAGTAATTGCTCAACCGTTACGTCACACCCGATCGTTCATTTCTAAAGGTGTAACTTTCAGTTCGAATAGGATAGACTTCATTTTTCAGTATGAGAATAAGCTGTATGTCTTGAGATCACTTGGCAATACGGTTCTTTGGGTCAAACAATCGACTTTCAACCAATAGACTCCGAGTTTGAGTATCACTTCGTCTCTTTCAGTCTCAACAACTAGGTTATATCTTTTTCCCTTACTCTAGAAGTGTCCGTTTTACTCTGTTGCTTGAAAACTCTATTGCAAATACCTGAGTTCTAACTAATTAACGGTACTCTGTTATCTTAAATCTACTGATAAGTTCAGCATCATATCCTTCATCCCCTTCCTCTACCTCCGGTATGATTCCAACTTCGACTACGTTGTTACTCATACTATTTTTGAATTTTTGTATAACATTTTAGTAACATCTTTTTCTTAACTAACCCTTTATTTACTTGTTCTGCCTATTCCGACCGATAACTGCTACCTTGCCGTGGTGGTCGGGCTTGAATGCCACAGTGACCCAACAGGCTAAACTGGCTGGGACTTATGTCCCTGCAGGTCCTACCATGTCAGGAAGGTTGTTTCGATAGCGGTTAGACTAAAAGCAGTTACCATGGGGTACATGGGCTTCAGAATTCAATCGGATCAAATGGCGTATGAACCCATATGGGTCACCGGCAACCATGGGAACGCAGCTCCTGACGCTGCTCCGCTACCTTGCGAATTAGACTCCAAGTCAAAGGCTCGGGGGGTGGTCCCTTAGGAAAACCACCTGCTTCGGTCTGGGCGCCCGGGCAGTATCTCAGCCCTCACACAATAGTGTGGCGCATCTTTCTTGGTGCCATATTGTACCAAGTTTTTCTGCGTTTAAATAAATAAATAAAATAAATCTGCCTATTACATAATTTTTTTTTGAACACTTGTCTCCATGCTCTTTCGTTAACGTCCCATTTTTCTGGGTGTCTTTTGATACTACGTTACCCTTGTCAATACTTACTGATCTTCATACCCTCCTAGTTACAATTTTGATTATTCATCACATTTTCTAAAACGTTCTGATGACGTAAACAATAATAACCCTAACTAATTTTTATTCTTGTCTCACAAACCTAATGTACACACACACACACACAAATAATTATATCTATAATTGCGATTGTACAGCGAACTGAATGAATTCACCGCCGAAAAGAGACTGACTCTTCGCTGAACTATTTATTCTTATAGTTCATAATATGATACAAAATCTCTTTGTGTCAACTTTAGTCGGAATTCCTATTTAACTGCATGAAAGGCGGCGTATGTCAGTCGTTTAAATCATGGCAGTTTGTCATTTTATTTTACAGTTTATGGGTAGTTTATTTATTTATGTCAACAATTGTTATTTGTATAGAAATTTTACCTTTTTTACGAGAGTTAGTTTGTAGGAGCTTGAATTCTTTCAAGTTTGATCACAGATTAATGTCAGTTAATGAACTATTGAAAACCAGGCGAGTACTGGACAACTATTTCGTCCTAGTTTGGCACTCCTCAGATGATGCTCGCTATCGACCACCTGCAGGTTCACTTTGCCGGGCATTTGGATTAATATTCGCCGATGATATCAGCTGGTGGTCGTGCTAAAATCGTGAACTGGATCATTTAGTTGGGTCTCAGTAGCTGAATAGTCTATGAGGTTACCTTGTAACAGGAAGGTCCTGGGCTCCTATCGCTGAGTTGTCCCCAAACTGGGACGAAGCAGCTGTCCAGTACTCCCTAGTTTCTAATGGTTCTCTAACTGATATCAATCCGTAATCAAACTTGAAAAAGTGTACCTGTTTGTAATTTTCTATAGTAGGACTTAAATCACCTGCATTTACCTTAATTTTCTTTCTTTCTTTTTCTAGGATATTACTACAGTTGATGTGACATCGGATAAATGGAATGATTTACATGCTGTTTGTGGTGTTTTGAAAACCTTTCTACGCAACCTACCCGACTCACTTTTCCCTAAAGGTAAATAATGCCTTAACACCATTTTACATAACATGTGTACTGTAGAAAATAACGTCATACCTATTTTTAACATTTATCACTTAGTTTTATATTGTAGCGGCAGAAGATTAGAGAACTGAGAACGTATATCTTATATCTTCTTGACCACAGCTAAAGTTGGCTAGGTCAGCAGACAATAAACCGTCTGTCTAACACACAGAAGGTCCCCAGTTCGTGCCTGGGCGGAAACACCATTTTTATAGGTTGGTGGCATAGCGGTTAGGATGCTCGCCGACCATGCACGTGGTCCGGGGCTCGATCCCTGGCCGACGCACTCCTTTACCTCGCTAAGCCACAAATAATGCCGGTGAAGAGTAAAGGTTGGGCATGAGGCTAGCAACCCCATCCTGTAAAATGAACACTGCTACAGAAACTTCAAGCCACTAGCTTGAAGCCCTATGATCCACTGGGGAACGTGAAGGAAAAAAATTGGTTGGCGATTGGTCGAAGATTAAACAAAGGGACGAAAAGTTGTCCGATGAGATTATTTCAAGACCACAACGTAAACTAAGTCCAGATTTGAGGACTAATCAATTCTACCCCTGCAGCCACTAACTTAAATTGTCGATTTCAATTTTTAGCCGCTTCTCATCATTCTGTATATACAATAGGACACGCCACAATACTACTGAATATTATGTAGATAGCTGTTTCACATATTTGTGTAGTGAATCTTAGTGAGCATTCTCAAAAAAAAACAGAAGCTGTGAGCGTCGTAACGACTTAATGTCACATACATTTGATTGTTTGGAAAATTTCATTTTAATAAGTGAATTTAACGTTACCGTCACTTCAATTATATTTATCTGGTCGTCTTATATCAATAGTGGTAAGTGGGGGTTACATTGCATAATCTAAAATGACGTAGAAATATCTATGACTAAATGAAAAGAAAACACTTTGAAGTGACAAAGTAGAATAAGATGTAGATAGATAGATACTAACGATAATGAACACCTTCAGACATTTGAAGTTTACATGAATAACAATTTTTCTTCCTTAAACGTTTCTTCGTTACGCTTCATTGAACCTTGAAAATATCATAATAATAAAGGTTGGTCTAATAAGCTTCATGAAGTTTAATATTGTTCCACAAGATAGATTATTTTTTTTTTCAGCATATTAATACAATAGGAAGTTGAAAAATAAAACATTTACTACTTTAAGAGCTGATGAATGTTTAATTTCGCTTTATTTGCTTGTTATCACCTTGATTATTCTTATGTAAAATAAAATGGTGTTTATTTTCTTTTACTAAGTTTTTGGTGATTGTTTGGGTACGATAGCTTTTAAGAGTAAATTTCTTTACAAGTTAATATGAACGTTAGAAAAAAGCAACACTGAGAACTATGGAGAATGATCAAATGGCTGTTATGAACGACATAGTTTGGCATTTTTCAGAAGTATGCACTTGCCACTCTCACCAAAGGTTCTGCTGTGTAGTTTATACCTGCAAATGCTTCGATGGTCCAGCGGTAGAATACTCGCCAATCCTACCGCCACAGGTGGTCTGGGGTTCGGTCCCCCGACTGACACACTCATAAACCTTGATTAGCCGGTAGTAAAACCTGTAAAGAGGAAAGGTTGGTCGTGAGGCTAACAATTCCATCACATTAACCAAAAGAAACATAACACCACTGCTACTGAAACTTCGGGGCACAAAGCTCGGAGGCCTATGTTCTGCTGGGAACGCTAAGGAATAAAATAAGTAAACAATACCCGTAAATGAATTTATGGCATATTAATTAATAAAGACAGGATACGCTTTCATCAGCCTGAAACCAGTTTGGAAATCTTCTCCACTTCACTCAGCATAAACAACAAGATTTGGATTCTATTGAACACAGAAACTTGGCCAGCGTTTCACGAAAAGGATTTCCAACAGGTTACAGACTTTTATCAACAGCTACCTTCGTTGGATCCATACTGATGGTCAAATGGCCGGCCAGGTTGTCAGAAAGGATTAGTAACAAAAATCTCTGGCTGGAAACAAACTAACCAAGAGCCGATTGCTCAACAAATATGTAGGAGAAAATGGAGGGGGATCGTGCATACGTTGAGGAGGCCGTCAAGTGACTTTGTGCGCAATGCAGGCCATCACTCGAGTGGAATCCCAATGGAAAGCAACGAGTGGGTCTTCAGTGCGAGGGTGACATGGAGAAGATCATGTCAGGAGATGAGAGATTATGGGCAATCGTGGACCCATGTAGCTCATAAAGATAGACACCGGAGAGAAAAAAAGGATTCAGAAATGTGACGGAGATATAACAGTAACATGCAAAAACAATAAGATTTAACAGATATAGGAGGTTATAAAGAATGAATGCATCTGCTTTATTGATAAACATTTCGGACTTTATCTCCCCAGCATCCTGAGGACTCTAGCCAGATGGTCTACACCTCTTTGCATGGTTCAAACCAACTGTCAAAGACTTCATGGACTGATTTCAGGTTTTGGTTTGACCACCCCTGACTCTTTTTTACGACCTAATCTCATGTCCTCTAGCATTACTCGTCGAGGAAGAGGTAGGGAACTGAGACGCGCAAAACTTTTCCAAACCATCTCAATTGATCTAATCTAACGATAAGGCAAAATAAAAAACTAAAAAACTTGCTGGTTACTTGTTTTAGACATCAGAAGTGATTATTTAGATGAAATCGACCTACACCTTTATATTTTGGATGAATCTTCCGTGGTGTATACTTCTAGAGATTCATTATGAAATTCACTGAAGTTTTCAAAACTTCCTCTAGGTCCTAGGATTTAGACTACTTCAATTGTTTGTTATCAGTTAACTTTTGTGTTGCATATAAGTTATTGTTAGTAATTATGTTTATTATTATTATTCGTCTTATTTGCCGAATTTTTTCTTTTCTTTCACAAAACTTCCATCTAGTAATGTATCCAGACTTTTTGGCTGCATGTCGTCTGCCACAACGTGAAAAACGTCTTCTGTCTATTCAACGTTTATTAAGCATAATGGAGTGTTATCCTTGTCATCCAGAGTATAGAGCACATCGAGCTACTTTGCGTTATTTGGCTACACATTTGGCTCGTGTTAGTGCTCGTGAAGCAGTCAATAAAATGACAGCTTACAATTTAGCACTTGTATTTGCACCAAACCTTGTACAACCATGTGAAGATACACCAGAATTGTTGATGAGTGACTCAAAATATAAAATTATGGTATGCATAGATTTTTGTTGTTGTTTTGTTTATATATTTATTTATCTCTCCGTAGTAAATGCGTCGGTGCCACGGTGGTAGAATGCTCGCCAACCACGTATGAATGTACTCCGAGGTTGGATCCCTAGCCGACTCACTCCTTTACCTAAGCTAAGCCAGTAATAAAACTGGTAAAGAGGGAAGGTTGAGCGTAAGGCTAGCAAACCCATCCCGTAAAAATGAACACCACTGCTACCGAAACTTCAATCCTCTAGCTTGAAACCTTATGTTCCACTGGGGTTTTTATGTGATGGATGACCTCTTGATTTTAAAAGTATCAATGTAACGACTTGTTTGTAAACTCATTTTTTGGACTTCTTTATTCTTATTAGAATTTTATGCAGATTTTGCATATCTGTTTATCTTTATTTCGTCAAGTTTATGGTTATTGCGTCGAAAAGGCTGTATGTTTATACTTTGTCATTTGTGTAGATTCAATGCAATGAGTTTGAAACACTTCACTGTCCCATTTTTAATTTTATTCTTGAACCAAATTCAGGCTTTATCGTTTTTTTCAACTTTATAGAAAAATAAGTTTAATAACCGGAAATAATTTATTTTTCGGCATCAAAGATCCTGTTTTTATATCATGTGTGTTCAATCTGGTAGTTTTCACTATACTTCTGTATTATTATTATTATTGTTTCCTTGGGTTCCTAGTGGAACATAGGGCTTCAACCTCACGTCTCCACTTGCTTTTGTCTTCTGCTGTACTTTTCACTTGCATCCATGTTAGTCCATACTGTTTCAACTCTTCTTCACATGACCTCCTCCATGTCACCCTTGGACGTACCACTCGCCATTTCCCTTTCGGGTTCCACTCGAGCACTGGCCTGACGCGCGATGTCACCCAACGGCCTCCTCAGCGAGTGTCCAATCCATCTCCACTTTCTCCTGCATATTTGTTGAGCGATTGGTTCTTGTTTTGTTTGTTCCCATAGTTTCTTGTTGGTGATTCTTTCCGGCCATCTGATCTTGAGTATAGAACGAAGACAGTTGTTGATTAAGGTCTGCAGCCTGTTGGAAATATTCTTTGTGACCCGCCAAGTTTCTGATCCGTAAAGAAGAACTGACTGACTTGACGTTTGTATTGAAAATCCGAATTTTGTTGTTGATGGTGAGTTGAGTGACGAAGATTTCCAGATTGGTTTCAGGTTGATGAATGTGTTTCTCGCCTTCCCGATTCTCGATTTGACATCCTCGTCCGTTCCACCTGCCTGTACTTGAGACAATGCTCCCTAGATAACTGAAGTGAATGAAGTAACCTCTTTCAAATCCCTCCCGTTGATGGTGATTGGCGCTGGATGTTGCTGCTGCTGTTGTTGTTGTTGGTTGGTTGGTTATTTTCATAACCTCCGTCTTCTCTATGTTCACCTGGAGTCCTGTGTTTGCTGCTTCTTCGATCAGTTTATCGGTCGGTTTTCTCTTGTAAGTCTTCGATTTTGTGTGACATCAAACATAAATCATCCACGCGCGAAATCCAGATCTTCTAGGTTCTTCACGTCGGTCCAGGATATCTCTGTCTTCTAGTTTCCCACTGTATGACGCATAATTCAGTCCACCACAATTAGGAATATCATTGGTGATAATAAGCACTTTTGTCTGACTCCTGTGTTTACTCCAAACGCCTCGCTGAGATACTTCTGTATACAACATTTATAATATACACTTTTATCCATGAAAAGTGTAAGGAAAGTGAACCTATCTTGAAAAATAGATATTTTTATTTAATGTTGATACTCTTGTTTCACTGTAATTTATGTGCTTATAGCCTGTTGAGTTGTTTCAGGAAGTTTCAGTTGTTTACTGATACCTATAGCTTCGATTCACCGTATGTTCGACAAACTGGTATCTGTTACCTTGCACTATTGTTTTCATCATTAGAATTAAGTGCAGTTTGTCTCATACCTTCTTCCTACAATGGCCAGAAATGGATTACAAAGAAGCTGCCGTCAGTAGTAACCTTACAGTGGTTATCTCCAGGATAGGTGGCTAACAGAAATGACTCTAAAAGTTGCACCGTATAACGAACCGGTGACTTGAGGACTTTCTTGAGAGAGAGAAAGAGAGAGGTGTATTTCTAGGACTGACACTGCGTCGAGAGCGTATAGCAAGAATGATGTTTACATAAGTCTTATTTTACACTCTTTGAAGTTTATGTTTTCTTTTCACTTTTAAGAAGCTAATTACCACACTAAATCTACTGAATTGTTTCAGCGATCGAATCAATTGTATTCAGTGGGTATTTTTTTTCAGTTATCGTCCCCAAGAGCGTTTTTATTTTATTGCCTTTGAATTGGAAGAAAGTAACTGTGATATCGAGTGATTCATTGATCTATTGCATATATATTTCTTTTTCTTCAAGTAATCATAGAGTTGTAACCTTTAACGGTCATTCAGAATAGCGTTTATTGTATGAAATCCATTTATCAGTTTTTTCATAAGTTAGCTTTGTGACACAAAGAACTGTGCTATTAGTGAAGTAAGCGTAACCATCCTTTAGTATCTAAATTCTATTATTCGAATTTGATGAGCTCTGTTTAGATTCCTTCGTTGTTGTCGTTGTTGTTGACAAAAGGCAATGTTGAAAAGTAATTTGCTCTAAATATTACGTATGATTCTTTTACTTCATTGAATTGCAGTACCAGTTATAGAGCTTTGTTTCTTCTAAACATGCACTGACAATGTGATGAATATTAAATTAGATACTTTAAAGAAGTTCTTTGTAAAGGACCCCCTTATGTGTGTGGTTAATAATACTCCCTGATTGTTAGTATCTTGTTTAAGTTGATTTTATATTTAAGTACTCCTAGGCTAGATAACCTTTTGCAGTGTAGAGAGATAGCCAGATAGGAGGTGTCCACTGGTTGTATACCTTCAAAAGAACTAGATTTATTTTAAAAAAATGTTTGGTTGCACATGAAATCGTTAGAAATCTAGTTCCGGTTAAGTGAATTCAGTTCTTCTACCCATATTTGATTAAATCTCTCTCTCTCTCAAAGTCACATTAGGTATTAAAAATTGTTTCAATTTCAATAAGACTTTCAAGTGTTGGTTTGTAGGGACTTGATTGGTTGCAGGATATCATCATGAGCTGACATTAGTTAGAGAACCATTGGAAAACCTGGGAGTACTGGAGAGCTGTTTCGTCCTAGTTTGGCTAGGGGTCGCGCTATGTCGTGAATTTGCAAGAAGTTAGAATTCATGGGCCATTGGATTGGGTTCCAGTGGCTTAATGGTCTACGAGCTCGCTGAGCTTGTAACCAGAAGGTCCTGGGTTCGAATCCCGGTGGGTGCGTACTGATGAAGAGTCCCAAACTAGGATGAAACGGCTGTCCAGTACTCCCAGATTCAATAAGATTTGTTCACTGTAAACTTCTTCATCTTTGAAGTGATGCTTTATCTCTTTGTTCAGTCATTTAGTTAGTAAGACATTTTCTATAGTTTGGTTTGTTAGGATTAGTTATGTTTTACGAGTTGATCACGGACTGATATCAGTTAGAGAACCATTGAAAACCAGGGAGTACTGGACAGCTGCTGTTTCATCCTAGTTTTGGGTTCGAATCCCAGTAAGACATTGTCAAGATGTGGAGTTTGTTTGTTTTTTGACCCCCGCCCCCTCATTTGGACATTAGTCACTAGTCATATATTTGTATACTATTTTGGTTTCATACAGATATGTAATCAAATAGCCATCGGTACTATTCATCATATATGTAAGTATCGAATGTTTGCTTTAAATAAGAGTCGACTATATGGCATATCCCTTTTTTTGAAGTGGCGCCACCTGCTTTATCCGGTGGTGGGTGGGTATTAGTGCGTTTCAATAAATAGACCAAACTATATACCAGCATGATTTTATGAAAATTCAAAAATATACGTTTGACATTTGAACTTACTTCTTCCTCTAATCCATTACAAAGCGCACATATAAGTATCAAGTGACATTTTCTGATACACAAGTGCAGCAAATGTAACGCAGTTCAAGTACATTACAATACAAAATTTTATTTAAAAAGCCTGTTAAAAATATAACTTATCATTAAACCATCGTAGAAATGGATTACGATGCTACATTTGTGGTGAGAGCTGGCTGCAAGCCAAAGTTGGTAGACAGTAATTGACGTCAATGTTTATGTCCCCAATATTGGTGGTGAGAAAATGAGAACAAAGGCTTTGCGTAGGCGGATGTAGTTAACATATGGATGATTTGACACAGCCACAAAGAGATGCAAGGTTAACTTTGTGTGAGAAACAACCAATCAAAAGACTGTATTTTCTACTAACATTAACCTACAATAATGTACATTAAAATCTATAAATATGTGTTGATTTTCCTTAATAAACGATCTGTTGCCTGGCCCTTGTCTTCTATTGTTACACAAGTATCGGGGATATGCAATAAGACCACTCTTAAACAAGCAAGCATGATAGTTATGGTGTTTTCAATTTTCCGACTAATGAATTTTAACTATTATATCAAAGTTGTTAATATTTTTCTCTTCAAAAATGTTTTCTGATCATTTTTTTTACAGCTTGTTGAAACAGTGATCAAGTATCATGCTTGGATATTTTCACCAGATTTAGGCTTGGAGAGTGGTTGTTCCGTACCACCAGATTCTACAGAAGATTTAACACCTGAAATTGATGTTGGTAGTCGAGCTATATGTGACACATCAGCAAGTGATGCTGATGACTCAGCTCATCAACCAGGACGTATTGAAGGTAATGCATATATGCATATACATATATATATATTTTTTCGAGTATTGGTTTGGTAGGGATTTTGTTTAATTGCATAACTGATGTCAGCTCATGATGAAATCCTCCATGCAATTAAACAAAATCCCTACCAAACCAATACTTGAAAATTAATCTGATGCTCACTAGTGACTGGCCCTATTCAGGCAGTTGACCTGGGGTTCTAGTGGGAAGCCGTGACCAGTAGGGTACAGCAGGTTGAAGATTAGGCAGTAACTCATCTAAGAAGACATTGCGAAATGGTCGCGCTATGTCATGAATCGGCAGAAGTTAGAATTCAAGGACCATTGGATCGGTTACCAGTGGCTGAATGGTCTACGAGCTAGCTCGCTTTGTAACCAGAAGGTCCTGGGTTCGAATCCCGGTGGGCGCGTACTGCTGAAGAGTCCCAAAGTAGGACGAAACAGCTGTCCAGTACTCCCAGGTTTTCCAGTGGTTCTCTAACTGATGTCAGCTCATGATGAAACCCTCCATTTATATATATATATATATATATATAAACACTGAATGAATACTACATACATAATATAAACATTACTATTCGAACAGTTGACCTAATTATGTATGATAAATTATTCAGCTACCAATAAAGTAGTATGTAAATCACGAGTTAAGGGTAAGGAAAACACCAGACAATTTTGTTCTACATTTTTAATGCGCAATTTTAACGAGAAGGTTATTAAGTCACTAATGTTAATAATAATAATAATAATAATAGAAAATGGTGAAATATTTCAATATAGAACAGTTTTTTCTAAATGTATTTGTATCTAAAAATTATGGAGTTGCGAGATGTAATACTCTGCCATCAGTCAAGGTGTAGTGTTTTTTCTGTCCTTTCCCTATTTACATCGATTTGTCAGTAGGCAAGAGTATTTATAATTAATCTCTTGATATTTATATGCCAACAGTATGTATTCCTATAAGACAAGGATACAAATTGCGTTGAAAATCAATTACTTAGATTTACTATCATCAGTTGTTTCCAGCCATTGGTTCTTATCATCCCGAAAAACCTGACCAGGTAGCCTACACCTCCCGACGTAGCTCAGACTAACCGTTAAGGTTATGATCTGGTTTGACTACCGCTAGGTCTTTTCCAATCTGGTCGTATGTCAGCTAACATTGTTTGTTGAGGAAGGCGATGGCTAGGCATGCGTAAAACATGTCCTAACCATATCAATCGTTGCAACTTCACAACCTCATTGATTGACCTTCCCTCTTTACTTAACACACCCCATCTAACCTCAATACTATTCATCCTATCATACCCCCTAAAATGGGAGATAGAACGCATACACTTATAATCAACAAGCCTTTTCATATCTTCCACTTCCAATGGTTGTGTCTCGCAACTATAAAGGAAGACGGAGTGAACTCTTGAGCAGTACACGCATCGCTTAATCCATAGCCGGATATCACGTCTACATCAGAGATGGCGTAAGTTGGCAAATGCCACACGAGGTTAAAGACGTATCGAATGTTAGTTTTTACATATGATGAAACAATACATACATGCGCACACAAATATTACTAATTTAAGTTATCCTATGACTCAGGCGTCATCATTGTCTCAAAATACCTGCATGTATCACTGTGGTGTTCTCCTTGGTTCAGGTCTGAAAAATATATGATATTGTAAGCAGATGCAACTTCCTAAATAAATGAAATGGTCGGCACGTTCTACCACCTCACTCTCTATCTTTAAGCTAGGAGTTGGTCCAGTGTAGTCGTACAGGTCGTCTCACATTTTCCAGGAACGAGTCGTATGCCAAACATCCGAAGATCTCTGATCAAGGTGTTCAGAAAGCTGCATTTTGCCTGCGTCTTCATCCAAGAAGACTATGTCATCCGCCTACTCTAAGTCAAAATGACTGTCCCCTGGTAACAAGTCAGCCTATGAGTCTCTGGAGTCAGTTAGGGTCGATTCCACTAGTACGTGCATGACGAAATGAAAACATGTGACCAACGTCCTTGATCTGTTTATTTGGGTCGCTTATATACTCGAAGTACTTTTCAAGAGTCTTTCATTTTTAATAATATGATATTTGATAGTTTGTCTAAGAACTTCTTGTTTCTTGTTTTCACATTTTTAAGGTGATGTACAACCGTTAGTTGCAGAGCTACTAAATGCTGCTGCCAGTCTCCCACCTCCACCTTCTGATACTGATTTAGAAACTGCTGAAATACCTGGCCCTGAATCAGATCGTCCATCGGATATAATAATGTCAAGACCACGATTTACATCTATTCCTGCTACTAATTGGTCTACTTCAACGACAAGTATTTCTAGAATACCATCAGGTGGTCTTCTTAATGAAATGTCTACAACAACTGATCATTTATCTGCGTTAAAAATTAACACCGAGCATATTGAAATTCACAATGTTACTACTGTAGATGGAAATCGTAAGGATTCAGAAGTAGGATTGGGAAGAGTTGCTACTAGTGGAAATTTGTAAGTTAATATTTCTGTGTACGATATTGGGTGTTCTAATAATTCCTTGAAATTGATACAGTGATTGTCATTCACAGCTTTGTCTCACTTATTATATTGCATCCAATTTATGATATCTTTAAGTGCTTGTTAACATAATCAGCCAATTGTTCTTCATATCTTCGTTTCTTCGTATATATACTTCTCTATTAAATGAAAAACGTATTTGAACCCAACTATCCGAAACGCATCTTTCATGCTTCAGGATAAGGGCCATTCGTATTGTGTGAGGATTCATGAAACTACCCAGTTGACTTGGCTGCAGTAGGTGGAACAGGTCTGGAACTTGACTGACTGACTGGTTTCAGCATAAACTTTGCACCGATGTGCAGCAGTTCGAGTCGCCATACTCCATGTAGCACACAAAGCAAGAGAAGAAATGCAAAGTAGAGACAGTAGACAGGGATATGAAACAAAAGGAATAGTATTAACGAAGAATAATATAGTTTCATTGGATATTATCAGTCACAAGGAGTGGATGCATCTGCGCCATTGAGAACGATTTTGAGCCATATCACCAATTGTTTCCAGCCATTGGTTTCTGCTGTTCCGAGGACCCCAACCAGGAAGTCTACACCTTCCTACGTGGCTGGCTTAAAATCACTGTTGTGGATTTCATTGACTGATGAAGACATGTTTTGGTTTGCCCACCAGTGGCTCTTTTCCAACCTGATCCTATGTCAGTCAGCTAACATTGCCCGTCGAGGAAGGCGATTGCTAGGCACACGTAACACATGTCCTAGTCACTTCATATGGGAGATAAAACGCAGGCACCTGTGATCAAAAACAGCTAGCCTTTTCATGTCCTCCACACTCAATGGCCGGGTCTCACAGCCATAGAGGAGGACGGAGCGGACTGATGAGCAGTATACACGTCATTTGGCCGATAGCCGGATATCTCGAAATCGAGACCCATCTTTTAAGAGCCAAGCCCTTTAGACAATGCAGCACTTCCCCATGTTAGTAAAAGATGAAAGACTTTGACTACTTATCCTCAATTATCTGACACAAACCTGTAATCTTCCTGTTGTGTTGATTAATAAGTATGAATGTAAGTAAGTCCACTAGCTGAAGAGAGTTTGGTAGTTGTGCGGTTATTAGTCATAATAATCAAATGATCAGAAAGAATAGTCAGTAACGAACCAGCCAAGAACCTAACATCTGATAAATGTGCAGAAGAAAATGAAGATGGACTGGCTATACGCTGATTAGACTGTTGAGTGACATCACACACACCAAGCCCTCGAGTAGAGGACAACGATGCGTCCGAGGGTGACATGAAAGTGTCGTGCGAGGAGAAAATGAAGGCTTATGGAAAATCGTCGAGTCACACAAAAAAGGCTGCAGAAAAGTGAGTAGGTTGGAAATGTGCTGCTGAAGGCCTATGATGTTCCACTTGAAATCCGAAGGAATAATAACAGTAATAATGATCAGTAGTTAGATGAATAACTCCCTTTTCCAATTTTTTTTCCATCACATCTGAATAAATGTGCGTCGGTGGCACAGCAGTATAATGCTTGCTAACCACACATGTATTCTGGGGTTGGATCCTCCATCCAGCGCACTCCTGTACCTCACTAAGCCAGTCATAAAACTGGTAAAGAAGGGAGGTTGGGCATGAGGCTAGCAACTCCATCCCGTAAGAATAAACACCACTGCTAGCGAAGCTTCAAGCCTCTACCTTGAAGCCCTATGTTCCACTGGGAAAGTGAAGGAATGAAAAAAGAACATCTGAATAAATAAGCTTATATTTTAAAATAAATCTGAACCTAAACTTTATTTGTTGTTTGATGTGTTGGTTAATAATTCACCTTTTTCCCAGCTATCTCCTGATTCATTTAAAACTGTTTTTCCTTACCTTCTTGCAGACGACCACTCCATACTCCTTCAGATTTGGGAATTAAACTAGACAGTAAGTTACATAACTTTTTTTCTCATGAAATTTCTATCGGTATCATAAACCTAACTTTTTCCCTCTTATTCATCAAAACCACTTTATATATCCGAATGGGTAACTAATCAATTGATTGATAATGTAAACTAAATAGCATTCGAACTAAATAACATTTGGATTAGTCAGTCAGTCCAAATTGAGTGACAGTTCAAAGTAATTGACACAAGATAATTAATTAGGTGTTATTTTTCAAAGTGAATATTCTCTTTCATGTTGTTGGGATATTTAAGGTGCAATAGGACCTTTTCACCCTAACAACCATTTCCATTTGTGTCAATCTCTGTTAAAAGACCTCATGACATACGGTTGATGTTGATACTGGAGGGCGGGGGTTGCGAGGCAGCATAGCTTGGTATTTTCGTAATAATTTTCCTAGTGTTTATAGTCGTACGTTGGGTGGCCTGCTTAAAACCTGGGCTACCGAAAAACCTCCATTAATATATTACTCATTTTGTTTAAATCTAGCAAAATATGACCTCTATCAATATTGTTTACTCTAGCGAGTATTTAAAACATCCACAACCTGTCGATTCTCAAGTGTCTACTAAACGTGCGAAAAAGCATTTACCTCGATGGCACCTTATCCCAGTACATGAGATGACCATTCCTCATTGGTGTCCTTGGTTCACAAAATGTACTCCTGAACTTTTTATAAATAATCGGCATTCAACCAAATGTCGCGTATTTCTCGAAGGAGAAAAAGAAACAGTATCATAATAAATTGGTTTGCTCTCCAGGTCAGATAGAACTATGTCACAACGCGATCTACTGCCAATTAATTATTTACTACTAGGATCCTGGACGAACGGAAATTATCATGCAATAAAACTTCGCTGAAAATTCTGTACATTTTATAAACATTGTTCAGAATAAACCTATTATTATTATTATTAAATGCTTCTTTTTTCACCTCACAATTTAAATTTTAGATCTACGCCATTTAAGTCAAGGCTGTTTAGAACAGTTTACATCAGAAGCCCGTAAACTTGGTGTTCGAGTTGCTGAAAGTCGACGTCAACTAGAAAGTACTGTAGCCCAACGTTTACACGCTGAACAATTACTGTTCGAGGCAAGAAGTGGTGAATGTTCAGATTTGTCTAAAAGTCAAATTGACTCATCATCCACAGAATTACTTAATCAACCAGAGGAGAATCCAATTATTAGTAGTAATACATCGACTACAATTCAATCAGCAGCAGTCGTGATGTCTACTGATTCTGTTAAAGAAGAAAAGAATTCCAGTGAATGTGATGATAAAAGTAAGTTAAAAATAAAGATATCTCATTCACTGAATGAATGAATGAATGAATGAATCTAACCTAATTTTCGTATATATAGCGCATATATTTAGTCGCTTGTCAAATCTCTCTCTATGTTATAAAACATATTAGTGGTATATGTGTGTATAAACACATATTGCACAATTATTATTGGATTACTTCACTACACTTTTAACTATTTTAAGATGTGTTCTATACACTATTTCTTCTTAAGAAAAGTTATTTTCAGCTGGGTTTTTTATTCCTCTTTGTTTGTAGGTGTAGCACATATTTCCTTTCCTTCCTTCTCCTCTTCATCCCAGCCCACCCCCATCTTTTTTTACCGTATCACACACACATATTTTTAATAATAAATAGTGATACTTTCCCAGAACTAAATTCACTTGGTGAAGATAAGGAAGATGATTATGATGACAATGACATTTCTGTCTACAGTTTTAAATGTATATTTATTTAATAATATTAATAATACTAGTGTGTTTCCTCTTTTTTTATATTTTGTCTTTACAAAAAGAAAATAAATATTGATTAATATTCACTACTATTACTACTACTACTATTGCTTCATTATTTTAGATTCCAACAATTGTTTCAGTGTTTGAATATATATACATATATATCTCTAACTACTAGAGAACTCTATTGGTGATTCTTCTTGTTTTAGGGTAAGCTGAATGCATGAATGCGCCTGTGCGCATGCACATTGTATGCATGCATACATGCTTGAATTATCTATCTATCTATCTGTATACATGTATTTTAAATTATAACAGAAATTGCCTTCTTGTTGCTGTTGTCACTGTCCGTTCTCTCTCTGTGTGTGCGTGTGTGTACACTTTTTGTGCGCATTTAATGAGTTTAAATGATCCTCCCCCTGTGCGTGTGTTTGTGTTTGTGTTCGTGTGTCCACTGCGGCCATTCTATCCCACCCTGAAGGAAAAGAAACAAATTTACAAATATCTGATCCTTTGTGTGTGTGTGTGTGTGTGTGAAAGCCTGTAACATTTCACGTTTTCATTATTGGACGTTTGTGTCCTGTTCCTTTTTGTGAAGTAATACATTGGTTGGTATCGCTAATTTTGGTGTATATTAATTGGAGACACATTTATTTTTGTTCTGGTAGTGTTTTTTTAAAAAAAAATTTATTGCATGCATTCTTATACGTATAAGAACACTTCCCAGCACACACAATACTTATGCCTGGATTCTTCTTCAGAATCTAGGCTATACATCCTTAATGTGACTGAGATACTATGATGTGAATTCTTTTATCGCATAAGATAATCCCGGTACAGTAAAAGTATCGTAGAGTTTCTTTATTGTCTTTCGTCCAGTCAGTGGATTATGTCAGTTCCCATTATAGTGGTAGTAATAATTAGTCGCCAGGGTTTATAATTCTTATATATCATATTTAATCTTGTAAAGTCTTTCTTATATCAGTTTGCGTTTTTTTTTTCTGTAGAAATAGTAAGGATGATCATAACTCACTATTCTCTACACTCTGTCTTAAGTGTACACGCGTCAAACTGTTGTCTCATCACCTTCCTCGACCGACAGGCATTGTTAGCTGACATATGATGGGTCAGGCTGGAAAAGAGCTAGCGGCGGTCAAACGAAAACATGGCACCAGTCAATGAAATCTACAACAGTTAGTTTTGGCCACATTAGTAGGTGTAGACTTCCTAGTTGGGGTCTTCAGGACGGTAAAAACCACCGGTTGGAAACAATTGGTGACATGGCTCAAAATCGTTCTCAATCACAGCGCAGGTGCATCCACTCCTTGTGACTTATGATTTCCAATGAAACTGTTTCGTTCTTCGTTATTACTATTCCTTTGTCTCACACCTCTGTTTACTGTCTCTAATATGCATTTCACCTACTTTCTTCTCTTGCTTTGTGTGCTACAAGGAGGGAGTGTGGCGACTTGAACTGCCGCACATATGTGCAAAGTTCTATGTCGAAAACCGACCGAGCGACCTGTCTCAGAGTCATACTGGGTTGTGTAGGGTCGTCTAACTCAACTGGAATGCGCTTCCAGAACACAACACTATAACTTATTGATCCTTAGGAAATATCCACCACACTGGGATTGACATAAAAGTCAGACTGGGAAAAGGACGACCGGAAGAATAATAACAACAGTTATTCGACAAAATATGTGGTGTATTATATTTACAAAACCTTCAGGAAATTAAGCCATAAGCAGACGAATTAAAACTGTCCTGTAAGGTTATCATGCCAGTACGTGTATAAACCATGCTTTCAGGACTAAACTTCAGTGCAACTATCTGTCTGTCTGTCTGGTTTCAACATGGAAATTTGCACTGATGTGCAGACGTTCAAGTCGCCACACTTCACTCAGCATACAAAACCGGAGAAGAAAGTGAAAAGAAACGCAGAATAGAGACAGCAAACAGAGATCTGAGGGATATCACTAATTGTCTCCAGCTATTGGTTTTCACTATCCCGAGGACCCCAACCAGGACGTCTACACCTTCCTGTGTGGCTGGCTTAAACTAATTGTTGTGGATTTCATCGACTGGTACCATGTTTTGGTTTGACCACCTCTGGCTCTTTTCCAACTTGATCCATCATATGTCAGCTAACACTGCCCGTCGGTCGAGGAAGGCGATGGCTATACATACATAACACATGTCCTAACCATCTAACCCAATCGATGTAACTTCACAGCCTCGTCTGTTGATTTCCCCTCTTTGCCTAGCACTCGACCAATGCCTAACCTCAATATTGCTCACCTTATTATACCATTTCACACGAGAGATAGAACGCAGGCACCTGTGATCAAAGACAGCTAGCCAGGCTTTTCATTTCTTCCATTCTCAATGGTCAGGTCTCACAGCCATAAAGGAGGTTGAAGCGAACTGGTCCGTCCTATCTATCTAGGTGTTCTGTATGGTGTAAAGGAATTCATATCAATCGGTTAGGCTGTGTATCTTAACTTGTTGAAGTAGTTAAGACACATGTTGAGTGTGCCCAACCGGAATTTCTTATAAAAATTGATTTTAGCTGAAATAGGATTAGATTATGGGAGAGAAAGATCATAGTACCAATCCATGAAGTTTTTGAATTGTGATCTGGAACATATATAGGGAGATGTTAGTTACCTGACCGAGCTCCTTGATATTCTTAGAAAGTATCGTTGCAGTCTCTTGGTTAAGTATGACGCGGATCTATCCATTCATTCTTCATCACCTTTCAAGTGCCCGACATCCTCACTAATTGTCTTCATGTAAATACTTTCACTTCGTTCACATTCGTGCTTGTCATTTGTTGTGTTGTTTCTCTATGTCTGTTCTTCGCATATGTGTGTGTGTGTGTGATTTTTTACAGTATTGCATTTTGAACTGATGCACATTTGTGCAGAGTTCTATGTTGATTTATTTGTCCATTGTAAATGCTAATGGGTCACGAGGGGGACTAGTTTCTCAGCTTGTTGAATGAATTTACTTGCTTGGTTTTTGTTTGCGTGTGAAGAATACTTTTAAGTGTCGTTCTTTGTATCCTGATTGACGTGATTTCATCTCAGAATGTGATTAAAGATTCGCATTATTTTTTTAAATAATGTAATGCAATTTTCTATGTCTTTGTTAGAAAAAACATAGAAGACAATAGTATTTTAAAGAGGGATGTTAAAGCGTAACTCACCTACCTCCCTTAAAATACACCAGTTTGAATGAGCACCACTTGGATGTATTAGTGAAGACGAAATATTTCTGATGCAATAAGTCAAATGTACTAACATAAAATAGTGAAGATGCAATTTTATATGGCCTCTTACTCTGAGGCCTGTTGTTTAGTTATGACTATGAAACAGTATTTACTGTCACAGGCTGACAAGACTTGTGTTATTGAGACTGGTGAATATAAGGTTATGTCGTAACACCATTCACAATATAAAGTATGACTAATATCTTTCCATTAGTATAGATTAAGATTATCATTTATTTATTTATTTTTCGAGTTTTACCACGAATTGATATTATTTAGCGAAGCATTGAAAATCAGGGAGTACTGGACAGCTGTTTCGTTCCAGTTTGGGACTTATTGTCAGTACGCATTCACTGGGTTTCGGACCCAGGACCTTTTGATTTCAAGGTAAGCTCGTATACCATTCAGCCAGTGGGACGTGATCCAATGACTTATAAATTCTAACTTCTACTAATTCGTGATTTTAGCGCGGCTACTAACAGCTGTCCGGTACTCCCTGGTTTTCAATTGTTGTCTAACTAATATCAATCCGTGGGAAAACAAATCAACTCTTGAGAATTTATTTATTGATTTAGTTTATTCCTTTGCGTTCCAAGTGAAGTATAGGGCCTAAAGCTTGAGTTCCGATTTTCCCTAGCAGTGGTGTTCATGTCCAACCTTCCCTCTGTAGCGGGCTTACTAGTGGCTAAGTGAGGTTCAGGAGTGCGTTGGCTGGGTATCGAACCACAGACCATCTGTGGCGTGGTTGGCGAGTATTCTTCCGTTGAACAACCACCACTGACGCACACGACTTATTGTTATTAAAATAGGATTTTTAAACTTAAAAGTAGTCTTATTATAAATCTTATCATTAATTTCATTTGTGTTTACCTAGTTTTTCTTTCTTTCTTTCTTTTATTTATTTATTTATTTTAGGCTTTAGGAACAAAACCTCCCTGAATAAACCACATCAACTTTCTTTTGATCATTATTACACTGCCGTATTTTTTTCTTTTCGAGATTGTGGTAAATTTTACATCGAAAATGTTGTGTATAAAAGTATTCCAGTTATTCAATATTATTTGGAAGTTCTTGCTGATGAACTTCTAATTTTCGAGATATTATATGATCACTATCACACACTTTTATTCCATTTATCATTTAGCATTAATGAGATGATTTGTGAAAGAGATTTCTATTTAAAATAAACAAAACAACACCAACAACACTAAACTGTTGTGTGCGTGTGGGTGTCAATGGAAGAGTATGCTCTCTCTTAAGTAAGTTTCTTTCTTACCTTTCATTTCAGTATTTGTTTTTTTTCTGCATACATATTTGTGTCCTCGTACTTGTCATAAGTGTGATATTTTTAGTATTTTTAATATATTTATGCGTTGAAGTTTCTGTAGCAATTTGGTTAAGTTTTGGGGATGGAGTTGCTAACACCACGCCCCGACCCTCCCTCTTTATCCGGGCTTGGGACCGGCTAGAAAACTAGCGAGCTAGTAATCTAGGCGAGGTTAAAATACGTTAGCAGAGCGTGGTTCTGGTTCCTAATTTTGGTGGACTGGATTATTTGTGTCAGACAGTGGGAAACGAGAAGACAGGAATATCCTGGACCGACATGAAGAACCTAGAAGACCTGGATTTCGCGGATGATTTATGTTTGATGTCACACAAAATTGAAGACTTACAAGCGAAAACCGACAAACTGGTCGAAGAAGCAGTCAGTGAAGACAGGACTCCAGGTGAACATAGACAAGACGGAGGTTATGAAAATAACCAACCAACAACAACAACAGCACCAATCACCATCAACGGGAGGGACTTGAAAGAGGTTACTTCACTCACTTATCTAGGGAGCATTGTCTCAACTACAGGAGGAACGGACAATGAGGATGTCAAATCGAGAATCGGGAAGGCGAAAAACACATTCACCAACCTGAAACCAATCTGAAAATCTTCGTCACTCAACTCAGCATCAACAACAAAATTCGGATTTTCAATACAAACGATGTCAAGTTTCTTCTTCTATACAGATCAGAAACTTGGCCAGTGTGTCACAAAGAATATTTCCAACAGCCTGTTGCAGACCTTTATCAACAACTGTCTTCGCTCCATATTGAAGATCAGATGGCCGGAAAGAATCACCAACAAGAAACTATGGGAACAAACAAAGCAAGAACCAATCGCCCAACAAATATGCAGGAGAAAGTACGGATGGATTGGACACTCGCTGAGGAGGCCGTTGGGTGACATCGCGCGTCATACCAGTGCTCGAGTGGAACCCGAAAGGGAAGTGGCGAGTGGGACGCCCAAGGGTGGCATGGAGGGGATCGTGTGGAGAGGAGTTAAAGCAGTATGGACTAACATGGGTCCAGGTGGAAAGTACAGCAGAAGATAGAAGCAAGTGGAGACGTGCAGTTAAAGCCCTATGTTACTCTAGGAACCCTAGGGAACAATAATAATAATAATACTTGTCATAAGTGTTAATTTGTGTGAGTTTCAGGTCACCGAACTACAACGTCTTGTTGATAAATATAAGCATTTGATAATACATTACCACCAGTCGACAGGTCACGCAGCGATGTAATGCATTACTACTGGACTTAGTGTACACTTTTATTAATGTTCTCAAGTGTCTACACGATACACTCGCTTTATATCCAGCATAAAATATACGAAGACATATTATATTGCCCATGGACTAAGATAAAAGTTGTGCATAATTCTGAATCTCGGATGTGACTTTTGACAATCAAGTATTTAGGATAATAAATCGCATCTCATGCGACGTCATTGAAAAATAATTTCTTGAAAGCTCTATTGAATATCGGCTTTATACTGGACGACAAATACCAGCAAGGAAATATATCTAGGTGTTGACACATGACTTAATGTAATAAACTTGTGGTGAGAGCTGGCTGCGAACAAGCCAAAATTGTAGACAGCAATTTACGTCAATGTTTACGTCCCGAATCAGGGTCATGAGAAAAAAAAACAATAACAAGGCTTAACCTTGAGAAAATCACCAACCAATCACAGCACACTTAACATGTGGAAATATGATTCGCAGACATATGGCTTAACTTCTGAGAAATGGTCACAAGCAACACAAAATAACCTTCAGCAAGAGAACAACCAATCAGAAAACACTTCTTCTCCGCTGACAATAATGTATATAAAAATCTATAAATATCTCTTGATTTTCTCAATAGACGATTTGTTTCCTGGCTCTTGTCCTTTGTCGTTACAAACTTACTATGTGACAGTTACGGCGTAATCTAGATTGAGTAAGGCTAACAGTCAATAATAATAATAATAGCTTCATTCCGGACAGCGTGTGTAAAGTGTACCGAATTCTCAGTCGAATTTATTGCATAATATATTCTCTTCGTCCAGCACCTTCAAATAAAATAGCAATTGATAGTAGATCGCGTGATAAAATTTCAATTTCAGACATCTATAAAACACAAAATGATTGAGCAAAGAATATCCTTCTCGATAATTTCCTCTTCTGGCTCTACAATTATATGCATATGTTTATATACATAGAATATTCTAGAATAGTAGTCAATAACAATATTAGTGTTTTTTAAATAATATCGATTTGTTAAGTAAGATCAATGGAATTAGAGTTCATTAAAGATACTTAAATTATAATAATGATAAAAATATAATAGCAAATAGAATATCAGCCAAAATTAAGAAAATTCCACAAAAATTCAGGATCATTCAAAGCTAGATGGCCAAGGTAATGATAATGTCTGAACTAACTTATTTTTGATGCGCAAATTAGGCTTATAAATATGGATCCCAACAGCCTTAGCAATATTTAGCAGTCTAACTGTTAAGGCAAAATTGAGATTTGTTGGTATGCGGTAAGTGACCCTGAAAGCCTGGTTAACATCAATCTTGTGTTCTGTATCCACAAGATGAGATAGAATGGCGCTGCGAATAGTTTTTGTTTGTCCTTTACTTAACCACACAGGGTGAAGTTCGGAAATTCGACGAGAAACACGCCTAATTGTACGGCCTGTGTAACTGGTTCCATAGGAGCAATTAAATTGGTAGATACACATCTTGTGGATACAGAACACAGGATTGATGTTAACCAGGCTTTCAGGGTCACTTACCGCATACCAACAAATCTCAATTTTGCCTTAACAGTTAGACTGCTAAATATTGCTAAGGCTGTTGGGATCCATATTTATAAGCCTAATTTGCGCATCAAAAATAAGTTAGTTCAGACATTATCATTACCTTGGCCATCTAGCTTTGAATGATCCTGAATTTTTGTGGAATTTTCTTAATTTTGGCTGATATTCTATTTAGGTACTATATCTTTATTACTATTATTATTTAAGCATCTTTAATGAACTGTAACTCCATTGATCTTATTTACCGAATCGATATTATTTAAGAAAACAGTAATATTGTTATTGACTACTAATCTAGAATATTCTATGTATATAAACATATATATATAATTGCAGAACCGGAAGAGGAATTTATCGAAAAGGATATTCTTTGCTCAGTCATTTTGTGATACAATTTCGTCTGACCTGAAGTAATAACCAGTCCCATATAATATTTCTTCTGTGTCCCCTTTGAAAAATGCACAGCATTCGTTAGTTCAAAGTCAGTGTAAAAATGTGCACGAGAGCATCTTGTGGCTTGAAGACATAATTGAATGACTAAAGACTGCAGGCAGTTAGTTTTATTTCCTGGAGATTAGCAGTTTGTATTAAAAATATCACGAACAGTTATCAAATAAATATATTAGGATACTTTGCCACCTACAATTTTGCCTATTTTCCCCTCAAGTTTAGTAGAAACTTACGAATCAGTGGGCTGTAAACATTTTAAACACTTGCGGGAGTAAATAATTCAATCAGAGGTCATAATTTTGTGGATTAAAACAGTATGAACATAAGAAGAAATAAAATAAAATATGACTGTAGTGGTTTTTGATAGCCCAGATTTTAAGCAGGCTGCCGTCATCAAATACACTGCCATACTGGATCAGCGTAATAGATTCACAGACCGTGTCACCTATCTACTTATCTGATGACTGCAATATTTAGTCATCTTTCAGTATCACAAGGTATAAAATCTTTTATGCAAATTATATCACGATGCGCATAGGTTATTCAGTTCATTTCGTATTAATGTTTGAGTCATGTCTTTGCTAATACTTACCAGTTTTCTTTTTTTCATTTTTCTCTATTTCAGAATTATTCTCAATCTTGCCAACTTTCTGTCGCCTATATTTACTGTGTTTGTAACGCGTGTAAACATATGCACTAATGCGCCAAGCAAGCCACTTAAATAAGCTTGAAATATAAAGTGTACGAAAGAACTCCCTCGCCTCCCCCATCCCTTGTTGTGTATGCTCTCCCTGCTCTCTCTCTCTCTCTCTCTCATGAACCCTTATTCCTCTTTTTTTTAAACCAAATTATTTATCTGCTAATGATAACGCTTTTTATTAGAATATTATTTCTAATATTAGCTTCAATTGACGACTGATTGCTTTTGATATTTATTACCCATTGTTTCAACAAAGTTGTCTGTCTAACCAGCCAACCAACCAACTTGTCTTCTATTTTTGTGTGTTGGCTTTGGTGTTGACGTCCAGCAGAAAGCGACTTTTCTTTATCCTATTCTTTATTGAAGATAATATTTACTTTATTTACTTATTTATTTATCTACTATTCAATTATTTGCTTATTTCACTGCATTTTTCTATGCATAACCTGTACACAAACCATAATATACTGATGCTGACAATGCTAATTGATGAATTAACCAGTAAAAAAATATGACTATTTTTTATTTTCTTTCACTGTCTTTTTTGTTTTTTTTCTGTTTTGCCAAAACCTTTTTACATACACTGTACTCGATCAATCACTTACTGACTTGCTCTTCATATTTAATTACTGTATAGTATGATCGACTGATATCTGATATTTGAGTCTGAGCTTTGACTTATTATAAAATTATTTATACCCCCATATATTGATTGCTGTTCTCCTTTTTTTCGTTTGTTTTCCCTTCTTTGTGTGTGTGCTAGCTGGCACGACGTCTTTCAAGACTCCCTTG